AGAACTGTTTTAACATTGCAAACACACTACATCTTAAAAGGATAATTTAAGACGATAATCTGTCTTGTAACCGATTGTATATCAATGGTATATCAGTCGCTTTTTATGGAGTCAGGATGTGAGATTACTCCGTAAAACCGATTCTGATCCCAGAGACTGACACTGTTTTATGTACCACAGCTTGCGAGATTCTCACATACGACTGCCCGGCGCGCTGCATTGGCACTTCGTTCCCAAACCGTTGGACCTCCTCCTCATCGAAAGATGCTGGAATCAACGGGGTCCATATCGGTCCAGGAGCTACACCATTGACTCGAATGCCTCGTTTAACCAGCTGCAGTGCAAGTCCTCTTATGAAAGCTACGATGGCGCCCTTGGTTGCACAGTAATCAAGTAGGCTGTCACTTCCCTGTACGCGACGATCGATGTTGTGCAAATAACGGAGCCACCTTCTTTCATGTGCTTCAGTGCATGCCTAACATTACCAATTAGCAAACATCAATTTCTCATACAATTATTTGGGTTTTTATCAAAATTAAAAAATCTTGCCGCATATCTACTTATCAAAAAATTCTGCTACACACCCTGTAGGGTGTGAAAAACAACGGCCACACGTATATATCCACTATTTGACCCTAGACAGTAGAGTGCACTACATGTGGATGTAAAGAATGTGTCCACGATGTGAAGCATTTCACATCAATAAATTAAGAAATTTTGCATGTACTTATAAAAAAAATTAAAAAATTGAACTACTACACTCCCCTTAACTCTAAGGGTAGGACCTCGATTTTGTGAGCATCATACTCAAAATAGTGAAAAGTAGTGACAGTAAATAATTGTCACACTAAAAGTTTTGAGATTGACCCTCGTTTAATAACACTTCCATTTTCTTCTTTCCTTCACTTACCTTGTCATGAAGAAATAAGAAAATATGTTGGTCCTAAACACCCTCTCCAAACGGGCCTCATCGATCTCCTCCACAGAGCCCGCCTTGTACAGCTCGGCGGCATTGTTAACCAGAATATCAATGTGGCCGTACGCGTTGGCAACCTCATCGACAACCTTCTTGCAATTTTCATCAAATCCCAGATCAGCAGCAAGAGCCATGGGCTCCATGGCATCAGAAGCCTTGACCTGCTTGGAGCGCGTCCTTTGCGTCCTTGTCCTCATGTCCCTTCACATACGTGAAGGCCACCGTTGCACCCTCCTGAGCAAACAGATGGCACACCGATCGGCCGATCCCGGAGTCGCCACCTGTCACAAGCGCCACCTTACCCTACACATACTCAATTGTTAAGTAGATGGTAATGAAAATTATGTTATATTAAGCAGCTCAATAAAGCAATGTGATGTACTTGGAGCTTATTGGAGGGTTTGTAATCAGGGTTTGTGAACTGAGGAGTGGGATCCATGGCATGTTCTTTCCCTGGCTGAGTTCCTTGCCTTTGAGGAGGGAATTGCTGCTTTCCACCTGAAGCCATTCTTCTATAAACTCTACGTACTACTTTTCAAAGTTGATGGAGATTAGGGTTTATTGCAGTGAACTCCTGATCTTGAATGTTGGCAAGGTATCAAGCTATGGAATTTATAGCAATTTTGAACTGACACTTGGAAGAACAGGTGGCAGGGACAGGGAGCTGCGTCTACGTGTCTTGACATTTGATTGCAGACTACACATCTGTGAAAACAAACAGTTTTGTTGACATGGGCCATTGCCATGCCTGAAGATAGTCGAGAAGATTTTCTGAAAGTGACAAGGATGGGCTAATGCTCTTTTTCAGTATGAGATAGGTAGAGAGAAGAGTACTATTTGGATCATGATATGGGATCTCTTCCCTTCATCTCAAATTATCCTGAAGTAACAAAGTTCTATGAAAAAAACTGATGGTGCACTTTACATAAGGATTTGGACTCCTCCTATATTTAAGTCCTTTAAACTCTTTTCACATTGGCGCCTCTCACAAAATCGAGACTCTAGCCAATTATGTGAATGTGACAAATGGTGTGACATGGAGCATATATTGGCAGTGTTGTAAATAAATTTTATATTGATGAAAAGAGTGATTTATATGTGCAAGTATGTTGGACTATTCTTCATATGTTATTTGTTTGAGGTAGAACTTTAACTTTTTATAGCTAGTTAAAATTCATACATGAATCAATCTGTTTCGATATATATCATGAAAATGTAGATGTTTCAACCTAAAAAAATACTTGGCTGGAGACTTGCAGAACTTCTTATTAGCACATATTACTTTTTGTGATGATACTCCACATCATACTTGTTATTCCACATCATTTTAATTTATGAGAAAAGAGATTTTTCGTGTGGAAACCAAAACATATTAATTTAACCAACGGACCTAATTTATGCATTCATGCTAAATTGCGACAATAAACTGCTCGTAACAAATAAGAAGTAATGCTCGATAGATCAAAAATTCTAAACTAAATGTACAACTAAATGATGTGTCAACAATAAAAAATAAATACGTTAATTTTTAATTAATAATTCAATCATTAACCGTCACTTAGTTACAGAATTTTAGTTTAAAATTTGAGCTCTCTATCATTAGCCTTTTAGCATATCCGGTGTGTGTTAGTTAATCTAATCCGCAATAGAGCCGTTGAAATCAATAATACTATTCTTACCATATTTTTGTACTACAATTGTATACCACCTTAGGTGGCATCTGATGTGGATAACCACATCATCTAAATTAATTAGCATTTAATTTCAAAATGTTAATCAATAATTAATAAAAAGATGGTTAGTTAAATGATGATTGTGGTATACGAAGAGTAGCTTCTTCTGCCACCTAAGATTATTTAAGTGTTTTAATTAATAAAAAGATTGCAATTAAATGATGTAACTTGTCCAACTCATTTGCCATCTAAAATGGTAAAGAAATGTGATAAAAAATTATGGTAAGAATAGCATTACTCCATTAAAAAAGTCCTTAAGCCATGCTTTGCATGTTGTCCACGTGCAAGGCCAACTGATAGCCAAGTAACTGATACATGTCAATTAGGCAAGTTTAGCATTGTGTAATCGATCAGCTCTCCAACACCTGGAGGATTGCCTTAAAAAAAAAAGGAAACGGGGCATTGGCAAACTCATCGTATAACAATCTCTCAAGTCTCTCATCCTCTCTCTTTCTCCGGCTCTCAATCTAAAACCTGATTTAACTTCCATAAAAGGCCTTCAGCCATACCATTAATATGGCCTCCCTCGTCGAACTTAGCTTCTTCTTCTTTGTGTTTGCTCATGCCTTTCTCTTGCTTCCTGTGCTGGTATGTGCTCTCTCTCTCTCTCTCTCTCTCTCTCTCTCTCTCTCTCTCTCTCTCTCATATATATGTGTGTGTGTGTGTGTGTTAGGCACATATAACATCTTACTAAATCTGCAGAAAACTATACTTGTATGAATGCATATTTTTCCGTTTCTTGGTTACTAGCAATTAACCAATTACTTAGTTCTCTAGTATGTCGAATTTTAAAGTGTGTTTTTCGTTTTCTCCTTGCATTTACATTTACATTTACTATTTTCTAAAACAACCAATGAACTTATTCTGTCAAGATTGTTATAAGTACTAATGTTTGTTGTGTCACGGTCTACTTGAGCGTACCAAATCCAAACTATGCACCGATATATTATCCTAACTTAACCACTCAGAACCTAGACACCTAGGTCTTTTAGAAAATAGCAACAAATTATTAATAATTAATAACCTAATTCCGACAGAAATCCGAGACTGATATTAGATTGTGAGTATGATTCACATATATCCTTGGAGATGGCATGCAACTAAGTTAGTAACAGGACCATAGTTATGGCATTTGATATGATTTTAGAATTTCAGTGGCTAATCCATTCTCAAAACTTATACTTTACCTATTTGCCTGTAGATAAGGATGAGGACAACCTTCTCCAAGGCATTAACAGTTACAGAACCTCGCTAAACCTGCCGGCCCTCTTCAAGAACGGTAATGCAGGCTGCCTAGCGGATCAAATTGCGGATGACATGGAAGACCAGCCTTGCAACAGTCCCACCAACGGAGCATTATGGCAACCTCGCAGACTCCGCTTGCCAATCTTCCCAAGCACTTGAGCAAGTGCAAAATCGATGCCAACAGCACATCAGCCGGAGTTATTCTCCCAATTTGTGTGCCTGATTTGGTCCCAACTCTGGTGCTTACCAATTATACTCACCGACCGCAGTTCGTAAAGTATCTGAACGATTCGAAGTTCACTGGAGTTGGGCTTGGATCCGAGGATGATTGGATGGTGGTGGTTTTGGCCACAAATAACCCAGCTGGAAGCTTTGTTAATGCAGCAAGCTCTTTAGTTTCAAGTTCAACTGTTGGTTTTGGTCGTTTCTTGGTCACCCTTTTGCTAGGGTTGTGTATTATCTTGGTTAGCTGAAGTTGTGAAAGTTGTATTGTGCGTGCCAAAATATGTGACTTTTGGTAGTTGTGAACTAGCAAGGGATTCCGAGTGTATGTAATGGCTGAACTACATTATGTTTTCATTATTTGCATTCGATATGTGCAAAGCAGAATAAATTTACCAAATTTAGGGCATCTTTGTAGTTTGTGGTTTCATAACGGAAAGTCGAGAAACTTTGCAAGGGTTTTTAAGGATTTCGTACCCATTGAAACATCGGTTTTGGGATCGGAAGCTCAACTATCAGTATACTTACGCCTGTGCTCCACCTCACCGGAATGAAATTGTTATCTAACATCAGAATCTGTCAACCAGAATTCTCTAGCAAAGAAATTATTGAACCAAAAGGGAAAGAGAATTGGAGAAACATCTCTATCTACTTTTAATTTATGGAGAATTAGAATTCCTTGGCATCCAAGGCAACTCATATGAAGCAAAGAATTGAGGAATAATGTACAACCCAAAAACCCTAAAAGACAACACTAACCCACAAGCAATCTTTTTATTCCTCCCCAACTGTTGTATATTTATGCACCCGATTCACAAGGCCGATGTCCTAGCACTAAAACAATGGCCTTCTCCAAACTAGGTTTCTTTCTCTTTTATGTTCTTGGCTTACTATTTATTTCTCATCCAGTATCTTCAAACGGTACTATTATCTTTCTCGCATCTCAAAATTTTCGCTATGTATGTTGTCATTTTAATTTGTTAGAACAAAATCATTTCTCTAAAATCTTATTTTCTTTGCAGATGAAGAAGACAAGCTTTTCCAAGGTCTCAACAACTTCAGGCAATCCCAAAAGCTTGCGGAGTTCAAGAAGAACGACAATGCAGCTTGTCTAGCCGATAAACTTGCCGACAAGCTAGAATACCAACAGTGTTCTAGCTCACAGAAGTACAGCATCGAGCCAGGCAACGGACCCAAATTCCCGAAATTCGACAAGCTCAGGAGAAAGTGCCATATCGAAACCAACACGACAACAGCCGGCATCATTTGGCCCGTCTGCGTGCCGGATTTGGACGAGGATCTTGTGCTCAACAACTACACTCGCTCCCATTACGCAAAATATCTGAAGGATTCTAAGTATGCAGGTGTTGGGATTGGTTCTGAGGATGAATGGGTGATTGTTGTGTTGACCACTGACGCACAAAGTGGAAGCTTTGCGAGCGGCGCAGCATCTTTGGGTGCCATTGGCATGATTCATTACATGGCGGCTGTTTTGGTGGGGTTGTTCTTGGTTTTGCTCTGCTGAATTGCTCTTCTATTCTCTCTTTTATTGTGTTGGAAAAAGCAATGTGATTATTTTTTCCCTTTAATCTTACACATAATAGTAAGAATGTGTAACAACTCCACTTTCTTTGATTTAAATTATCTTGTACTTATTTATCTTTAAGACAAACCTATTTTCGATTGTAATTAAGTGATAACTATTTTTTATTGTAATTAAGTGATGGATTGTTTTAATGGTTGTGGTCTTCCTCTTCAACTTATTCCGTTCTGAATCTAATTTTTTCTATCTTCCATTAGGTTTAGATTATCGTTATACTAAAATAAAATAATATCTATTTATCAAATTTTCATTAACGTAAAATCCTACAGACTTTTCTTTGACAAGATATTATCTTCTGAAACGTTTTTAATTTACGTATAGAAAGACTCCAACTTGGACTTTTTTATATACTCTGGATCAATTAAATTAGATTGTCATTCTTAAATAACCTAATTCTTACTAAACTCATTTGTTCTAAGGGAGTTTTAACGAAAAGTTCACGGTATTGTTCACTTTAACGAAAAATCATATTTTTACACTAAAAAGTCAATCATGGTACTATTCACTTTACCCTTTATTTTGTCATTATCGTTAAAACTCAAAATTTTCAAGCCATTTTCAGTAATTTTTCTTTGTTCTAATTGCATTTTAAGTTTGGTCCGTTAAGTTGAGAAATTTGTGAGTGGGAGGATTACATGCATCATCCCTTCATGTTACAGTATATGAATTAATCACACCATATGACAGCTAGTCACTAAAAAAACTTCTCAAATACATCATTATATAGTGATAATCTATGCACATATATAAAAATCTAATTACTGTTGTGATTAAGAACGTTCGCCCATCATAATTTCAAATCTCCTGTCCTAATATCGCTTAAACCAAAAAGAAAAAGAATTTAAATTGCTCAAAAACTTTAAATAAAATCAGATATTAATATTAGAAAGATTTGGACTTTTTTTATTTTTTTTTGCTTTTCTAATTACCTCTATTCTTTTTTTCTTTTTATTTTCTTTTTTCTTTTTTTGTCAAACGATTAGATGTTAAAAGAATCACCAACGAAGTTTAAACCCACACCGCCATGCAATGACTCAATAACTTTTCACCACTATGGTAAATGGCCATTTGCTCTAATTACCTCTATTCGATTCTTGCTTTTGTTTTTGAGTAAATTGTAGCAATGATCCTTCAACTATAATCAAATTGAAGCAATAGTCTCTCAATTAAAAATCTATTATCATTGGTCCCTCAACTCATCAAAATGTGTAGTTATGGTCATTTTCGTCAACTTCATCAAAATTTTGTCAAAATAAGTTATGTTGGAAGAACCATTGCTACAATTAGGGTCCCGCAACTCAACAAAATGTGTAGCTATGGTCATTTTTGTCTAGTACTTCATAATTTTGTCAAAATAAGTTATGTTGGAATGACCATTGCTACAACTGGGTTAAAGTTGAGGGACCATTACTCCAATTGAGTTAAAGTTGATGGATCATTTCTCTAGTTAGATTAAAGTTGTGGGACCAATGGTAATGAATTTTTAGTTGATGGACCATAACTATATGTTTTGATGACTTGAGGGATCAATAATAATAAATTTTTAATTAAGGGATCATTGGTCTAATTGAGTTAAAATTAAATGATCGTTGCTACAATTTACTCTTTTTTGTTTTTTGTTTTTTGTTTTTTTTTTTTGTTTTTTTTGACAAAAGTCAATAAAACAAATCGCGTTTAGCTTAGCTGGATTGGGTCCTGTCCACGTCATTCTCCCGCATGCAACAAAACCACCTTAACGGAAACAACATCCTCCCATAGACACACAGAAAAGAGATAGAGGCACACAGAGCTTCAAAGCCCTCGCAGCAATGGCGGAGGTCGACGACGCCGACGACTTCGGAGACTTCAAGTTCGTCACCGCCGTCGATCCCAATCCCAAGATCAACGGACGAGATTCGACCGTCTCGGACGACGATTGGGGAGACTTCGTAACCGACAGCTCGAGCCAGATCAAAGCTCAGGTCGTGCTCTCCAATGGAATCACGTACTCCCAATCACCTCCCGCCCAAATTCCCTTCGACCCTTTTGGGTCTTTCAATGTTTCTAATGGGTCGGCGCCGACCCGACCCGAAACAGAGCCAATCCGAGTTGAGACTGAGCCCGCGAAGGTTGATAAGACTCGGTGGGTGAAGCCGCAGGGAGCTTTGCCGTTGTCGTTATTTGGTGAAGAGCAGGAAGAGGAGGAGTCTAGTGCGGGCGAGTCCAGGGTTGGGGACATTGCAAACGAGGGATTTGCGAAAAAGGAGTCGAATTTGAATGTGAAAAATGTTGGGATCGATGATTTGATTGCGAATTTGTACGGTCAGAATCCATACATCGTGTTTCGAAATGGGTCGGATTTGAATTTCGGCTCCGGCGGTCCTAATTCGACTATAAAGGGGTTAAATTTCGTTGCAAATGGGATGGATTTGAAGTTTGATGATCCGATTTCGAATGGAAATGGAAAATTTGGTGGTTTTAATTTGGGTGCGAATGGTTTTGATTTGAAATTTGATGGCGTGGGTTCGAATTCGAAGACAAGTGTGTCGAATTCGGGTTCTGGTGGTCCTACTTGGGTAAAAAACGGGTTGAATTTCAGTGCAAAAGCATTGGACTTGAAGCATGATGCTCTGGTTCCGAAAGAGAAATTGGGTGGCTTGAATTTGGATTCGAATGGTTTTGATTTGAAATTTGATGGGGTAGATTCAAATTCGAATACAAATGGGTTGAAGTTGAATTGGGAGGAAGGAAATGTGAACTTTAATGAGGAGGATGATGATGGTTGGGAATTCAAAACTGCGGATTTGAAGGTAAAAGTTGTTTTCTTTGGTGATTTTTGATGTTTTTGTTTAGTTGGAGTATGGACTCTGTTTGGTTTCTGAGAATTCTGAAGTGAGAAAAAAGTAGAAATTCTCTTTCTCTATGTGGTTTGAAATTCGTATTGAATTCTTGGCGGATTTGTGAGGAACAATTCCATTGGCTTTTAAATTTTCTTATAAGTATTGCTGAAGATTACCATTTATTTATTTTGTTCATTGCTTTAATTTTATCCTTCATATCAGGAAAAAGGGATTGTGGAAGTAGCAGGATCGAAACCGGAATCAAGTGCACACGTACGACCAGGAATCCAGGCGGGTATTGTTTATTGTTGTATGTCTTGTATATTTGTTGTTTTTGTGTCCCACCATGGAACTTCTCTTGGAAATGCAGAACTTACTATTTCAATCACCCTCTGTTTCTTCTGGTGTGATTTTGCATTTGCACACTCAAATAGGGGACTTAGATTTTCCACTTATATCGAAATACTCTAGCATGCCATTGGACTTTGAAAAAAAAAGCCTGTTGATTTGGTCCACCAAGTTTGACATTTCGCATTTTGAAGGTTGAGGAGAAGTGGCAAGCAAATACTGGAGGAAGTGGATTTAGTGGGGGATTTTTATTTGATTTCAACCCAAAGCCTGTTACTCGAGATAATTTTTTCTTCGATCCACTTTCAATAAGCAAGCAGAACAATGCTCCGGATAAACCCAATTCTACTCCGGTTAATGGAAATCTGTGGGAGTTCAAGGATGCATTTTCAGAAACTGGACCAGAACATAAGTTGGTGAGTTAGTTTGATTTTTTGTTAATTTATATTATTTTCAGTAGTTCTGATCTGGTTTACTGAAATGTTGACTTTTAAAGAGTGTGTCTTGTAATAGTAATACTTAATTTTTGGTTGCAGGAAGAGGCAAAGGCTGCCAGTCATGCTAGTGTTGGAGCTCATGCTCGTAATGATTTTTTTGCTGCATTTCATGGGGATTCTAGCAAGTCTGGAGCAAGTAACTTTGCATTTCCTTATATCCCGACTTCTGGCACGAAAGGTGGTGTAATCTCAGATTCACATTCCAGTGGCAAGAAAGAGGACAATGTAAAGGAGTTGAGTAGTTCTCCAGATGCTGGTTCAGATGACGATTTTTGGGAATTTAAGGATGCATTTTCCGGATCTGGATCAAAGTTCGAGGTAGATGAATCAGCTGACTTTGTTTTATATGCTTGTTTTTTCACTTACATAAAAACTTTCAAGGAATGGGAATAAAGTTATTTCCATTTTGGTGTAGGGGGAGTCGGTGGTTGCCGGTAATTCTCCCATCAGTATAAATCCATCTGCAATGGGTGTTGAAATACAGGTATTCATTCCTGATATTTCTTATTCATTAATAATATAGTGAAAGATTGTTGTTGCTGCCCTGTGGAAATAGGCACATAGCCGAACCATGTAAATTTTTGGTGTTATTTGCCTTGGTTATTTTGTTTTCGGTTTCCCGAGTTTGTTTTGTTTTTCCTATTCTTAAACGCGATAATCACAACATGCTTATCATCTGTAATTGTACACAACATTTGGAAACTAGGAAAAATTTCAACTAATGGATGTTCTTGAATCATCTCATCTAAAGGAGCAACTTTACCATCTTGGTGTTAAAGTCATTGTACCAGTATACATTAGAATTCCTCTTGGTCTAGCTCCTTTTGTCTCATCAATGCTTAAGCTCCTGTTAACAATTTGAAAATATTTTTGGTTTATTTATGCTCTATGAGCAAATGCTCCATACTAATTTTTAATTGTTTCTTTTCTTTTTTTACAGCACAATGAGGTAACACTGGAGAATCATCGGCGAGCCTTGCCCCTGTCCATTTTTGGAGATGAAGAACTGGAGACTGATGATTCCTCAATTCAATTTCAACAAAATATTTCTACTCATACAACTGCATCCCACCAAGTAAATACCAATAAAAGCCCTGCGTCCAATCTATCCATCACCGATCTAATATCAAGCTTATACAGTCAAGTGGACCAGAACACTAACACAATTCATGCGCCGAAATTAACTGAAAATACTATACATACTGCCCCAACCATTTTGGAATCTGATTTTGGTGATGATTTTGATGAAGATTCTTGGGAATTTAAGGATGCTGTTTCAAGAGATCAAAACCAAACTTCTATTGCTACTCTTGAAGATTCACCTCAAGATTCTTCTACTAAAGTCCATCTAGATAATTATGTGGATTTATATTGCAAACTGAAGGATGAAACATATGGTCTTGCACTCTACCATCTTGAAAATAAAAAGGTTAGTAATTTGCTCAGACATACTTTCTGTTACGAAGTTTTAACAGTATTAAGTATTTGAAATGTGCATTTTGTTAGAAAGCTCAAAGTGGTGCTTCTCTTTCTGGTGAAGATACAACAGTAGATACTCTGGAAGATCTGGAACAGGAAATCCAGGTTTGTTGCTTTAAACGGTTGTTTTATCTTTCTTCCTTTATTTATTTATTTTTTTTTTATCATTTGGGTAGTTTACATGTCTTATGAGGCTATGCCTATGTAAAACTGAATCGACATGTTAGGTAATTGGTCTTCATAGTATGGACTGTGGAGCTTGGTTTTTGAACGAGTGCTTCTGTTAGGTTTGTAATTTTCTAGTAACTTCTTGTTGTATCTGTTGTATAATAATCTGCATTAGCGAATAAAATGGATGTTTTTTACTTGTTGTCATGATTTATAATACTTCTTTAATATTTGGGGTCTGGACTATCTTGAGAATCATCATATGTGAACAGCATGAAGTGTGACAATCAGGAACTGATGTTGGTGGATTTATTTACTCAAAAGAAAATGTTGGTGGATATAATCGACGTAATAAATAACTCAATTATTTTTTGTTTGAGATTTCAAACATTCGTATAGGGATCGGATGATTTATGTATGGTGCTTAAATTAGTAGTTTTGTTGGGCAAAAAACTTTGTTAGTTTTTGCTAACTTAATGTGGTCTCTTGTTATAGAAATTGTACAGTGAACTACATCAACACAATATGATCTCTGATCAATTCCAGTCAGGGAATCTTTCTTCAAGAAATACACAACTTCATGAAGTTCGTAAACTTCTACAAGATCCAAAGGTCCAAGTTTTTGAGTCAGAATATAAGTTGTCGCAAAGATTGTCGTTGGTACGTGCCTTTACATTGATATGAAGTAATGAAAACTTCTGTGTATAACTTATAAGTGGACTTTGCTTGACCCTGCTTGTATTTGGGTTTTGATAGGCAGAGAATGATTTGAGATCTGCCGTTGAACTTTCAAGACACGCAGCATCCACATTAAGGATTCTTAGATTAGGATCAACTGAGGAACAATCTAATTACATTTCCACCTGGTCTCGAATAGTGTCTGTTTGCGCTGAAGAGTTGAAACATGGTTCTCTAATTTGGAGGCAATCATTAGAAGCGAATGTTCAGAATCAAATACTATCCAAACCTCAAGGTACCAGATAAGAAATTGTTGTAGATGGATTTCATAGTTTATGTTACTTTTTAAATTTTGTGATTACTTTTTTGTTTTATCATTTTTTGGAAACACAGGCAAGCAGTATATCCTTTCCCTTGGAGAAATTTACAGAGTAGTTTTAGTTCTCGAAGCGTCTGCCAAACTTTACGAGTCATGGATTCTATTACATTCTTCAGACTGTTCTAGCTTTTTTTCTCTTCTAAACGAGTGCTCTACTTTATGGTCAAGTTCGGGACTTGATGAAGCTCTCAAGAGCATTTCAGATGCAATTGATTTTAAATATGATGGGACCATTGCGGAACTACTAGATTCCATGACATATATTCATCATCTCGATGCATTTGCTCTCCAAAACCAAGTTGTTGTTAATGACCAAGAACCTATTTGTTCGCTGTCACTATTAACTGCAGGAGCCGTGCCAGGTATGCAGAAGTTGATTTTAATCACCGTCATTTCACTACACCTGGCCATGCCAGAGAGCTCTCTAGAGTCTTGTGGTGCTTGCATTGTACACGTCCTGTAAATTTTTGTCCACTTGAATGATCCTTACCAGCCACTAATTTCTTTTTCATGTCTCATTAAGAATTTGATTATTTGAGTCAAACTAGTAACGTTATGGAAAATTTTTAGGGCTCTTTTGTAAGTGCTTTTAAAATGGCTGAAAGCACTTTCGGTGAAAATGTTTTTGGTACCAATCCAAAAGCACTTAAATGCTTCCTACAAGAAGCACATAACTGATGCTTCTTCGAGGAAGCACTTTAAGTGCTTTTGGAACCCAAATTTTTTTTCCCTAAAAGTGCAGTTTCAGTCATTTTAAAAGCACTTCCAAACGAGCCCTTGGTTTTTACTTTTTGGAGATACTTTAGTGAGTTTGAAATAGTCCTTTTTCAGTTTTACATTTCATCAGCTGTAGTATCTTGAAACTGTTGGTAGTTTGGTCTTTACTCTTTTGGGACATAAACTAGGATTCCTGAGATGCATACTTGGTTTACGTCACCTAGTAAACTCGGTCTTTTTTCTCTCAAGAAAAGTGTCATAACACTATTAGTAGTATAGGCGCACCCGCTCACAAGTAAATGTGCAAGGCAAGCAACATATTACATTTTCACATATGAAATGCTCGCCATTTTTCATAGTCATCGCGACCCTATGTTTTGTGTTTCTGCTCTTTTTAATGTATTAGTTTTGTTTGTATGTTTCAGGTGTTAAAATGGTGATGTGGAATGGGGAAAACTACTTGTTGAAACTTGCGAACTTATGGGCAAATTTAATTAGTCCTAGTCCTCCGCAATTGCCCCACGTGCGTTATAGCTGATCGGAAAATCATGCTGGAGGAATCAATGAGGACTTTTGATGTGCTCTTTGGCTGAAAATAGCCACTACATCTCTCAGTTCTCTCTAGAATGTGGCTTTGACGGACTGAAAAGCATGACGATCAATCAGAAAGAAAGGTAGTGACTTTTCAACAACACGATTAGGAAGTAATCTGATCCGAAAGACAGTCGGCTGCTCAGTTTGATCCAACCAAACCTTGATCTGATTCTTTTGTTTCGAGCTTGCCATTGTGTTTTTGTGGAGCCATTGTACTATATCGATAGGATGTAGAAAAGGTTTTTGTATCGATGTCTGTAGCTATGTGTGCCTGAAGGTAAAACCGGGTGGATAAGAAAAGCATCCCCAAACTCCGTTTTAGAATTTTGAAACGAGGAAACAAAATAGGCCATAAAAACGAGGTGTGGAGAAATTACTAGTCAAAAGCTTACACAAGGTGCAAAATGCAAATGTAGCTTTTTGTGTGGTAATACCATGTAATATATTTTGTATTGTGTTTTATGACATTGATGAACTACAAGATTGTGGAGAATTTGTCGATGTGGTGGTCATACAAAGGAGAACTTAACTAATCTTGTTGGAATGCTAGTGACTGGGATCTATACATAAAAACCAGAGGGACGATGGAATTCGGAACATCTAAGTGTTAAGCTCTCAAATTTCTATAATCCAGGGACTATAACGAGTTGGGATTTGAATTAGTTACTGAAACAGGTATGGTGGACAAGTCTAATGACATAGAGTTTGATATGTACGAGCGAGAGATTTAATGTATAAAATGAGTAAATGTATTTTTGTTTTCTCCAATATCCTAAGTGTGAGTTGGAAGAGAAAATAGATCAATTGAGTTGTCATCACTCCAATGTTTGCGAATATGAGTGTTGCTCATGTAACCATAGCGGCTAAAATATCAAATTTGAAAATAAAAAGAGAAACGCACTGTCATCCCACCAAACTGTTGAGAAAGTTTGTGTATCTTACTCATTTTTCTGTCAAATTTGGATCGTAGGTGGGCGATTGTGTTTGTAAAAGGAGTGCAGTTTCCCCAATATCCTAATTTTGTAATTGCAACATTTTTGAATTTGTATACAGGTAATACAACAAAGTTAACATATGCTCAAAAACCTATCTCTCAACTTTCTTTTATCTCTTGTCTAAATGCATGTTTTGTGTTGTCTAAATGAATGTTTCGTGTTTTTCTTTTCATAGGAAAGTGATGCAACATCACAAATATGAAAGGATAACAAGTCACGCATGAAGAATTACCATGACCAAAGTCTGTTTTCTTCCAGAAGATAAAGAGAGGAATTATAAAACTAAATGCATTCTCGAGTTCTCAAAAACCAAAAAAACAAAAAAACAAAAAAAAACTCCATATTATAAATATGTAAAAGTTAAAGAGATAACCTTTTAGTAAATGGAGTGAAACATGTGTAAAATGTCGCACTGAAAGTATAACACAAGAGGATAACAAATAAAAGACGGAGAATAGATGATGTTATTGATCTTTCTTTCTTTCTGTCTGTATTTTTGAAAGCATACGAAGTGCTCTATTTATAGAGCAACTCCAATACTGATGCATTAATTACACATTGAAAATTTACAGCACTCTTTTGAAAAATATGATCTCCTGCACCCCCAAAGTCAATTTCAATCTGTAATAGAAATTGACAATGTATATGTGTGGGCATTCATAATAATGCCAATGTTTTCAACACTCTACACAAAACGGCGATTTTCCCAAAGACATAGTTTTTCTATTCGTTATAAAGAATTTTGAAACACTTAACAGCCAACTTGCCTTCAATGGCCTTCAAGTCACAAACCAAACCCAGAGCATGGTATGCTGATATAAGTTATTAGACACTGGTGTCAACTACGACATATATTCCAATCACCATTCTAAAAATTCCCGCCTAGACGTTAGATGGCTGATTACCGTTCCGATTAATGCCTAGGGTTTGAAAATTAAGAAATGAATCCTAGACCTGCTGAGGTGCCCGCCTAGACTGCCTATCCCGCCCATAACATGCGAAAAATAGATAACTTTACTTTTACATTTTATTATTTCCAATAAATTGTAAGAGACTTATTGAACACTTAAATAAACACACATTATATGTTTGATGTCCATGTTTTCATTATATTTCAATACTTCATAATATATATGTCATTCTATTTTCTAGTTTAAGATGAAATTATATATATTTTAAGTATAAAAAGACACTTATTTACACGAAATACAATAGATTTACTTAAATCCGCCTAGTCGCCTAGGCACAACAAACTCAGTTACGAAACTAACAACCTGCCCTGTCGTTCATCCTACACTACGTACCCTACTCCCAGCCGTTGTCCTCATATAACTTCTCATCTGATGCTTCTTCGATATTAAGATTTCGAGAAAGACATCTACTTACTAAGAAATAGTCCGTGTATTTCATCCACAGATGGAGGAACTTTGTACCTGAATCGAAATGAGAACGAGAAACGTTGACAAAGACGTTTCTCCAGGATCATCCAAAGTGTGAGATAGGCCGTTGTTATCGCGCAGAAAAGCAGGTGGACAGATCTCAGTTCTGTCTGCCAGAACTTGGTACTCCGTAAGTTCTTGAGAACCGGAAGAAACAGTGATTTCCAGAGTGAACTTAGTGCGAGTGGCTTTCACAGGAACCCGTTGGATCAGAGGTGTAACATGTTGGACAAGAGCGGATGCAGACTCTCGACATATTCAGTCACATTCACGCTCGAGTTAACCCAAAGAGCATTGGTTGACCGTTGAAGACCATGCATCGTTTGACAAATACTTTTAAATGACTGAAAGCGTTTTTAGAATAATATTTTTAGATTCCAAAAACGTTTGAAGTGTTTTCTACTAAAAACAACAGTTATATGTTTCTTGTTAGAAGCACTCCAAATACTTTTTTAGAATTAACTTGCATTTTACTAAGACTTGATTCAAAAAACATTTTATTAAAAATTAAAAAAAAGAAAGAAAAAAAAAAACCATTACTTGCCAAACGATCTTTGTTAAGCTTGTCTTATTTTTTTTTAATCAAACCATGTAAACTCCATATACTCGAAAGTGCCTTCCTTTTTATTAAAAGAAAACTTTCTTTAGTTATTTATATCGATACATTTTATTATATAAAATTATATTATATTAATTAGTATGAAATTTTTTTATTTTTTTATTTTTTATTTTTGGTCAAAAATATTATTTATTTTGAAAAAGGCAAATTTAGTAATCAAGTTAGCTTTAATTTCGATTCAAGTGAACTAATAAACAACTTGTATAGAACAACATCATTCCTACTTCAATTTCAAATAATTTAATAAAAAACTATAATATGAATTTAATTATATTTCTTCCTCTATCTAATTTCTTCTCGATTTAATTTTCTTAAATCAGATTACGGATTATTAAACGAATCATTAGTTATTTAGGAAACGATAAAAGACCCACAACAGTGACGAAACGGGTTAGGCCGACAACAATGGGGTCAGAGACATGGGCTTGGGAAACCTGGATTGACCCAAATCACGGGCCCAAAAAAAACTAGGGTTTTAGGGTAAACTACTCTCAGTCAGTGACGGTTAGCTTGCGTTGTTCTTCTGCAAAGCTTCCAACTTTTTCCGATTCCAAAGTTTCCATCCGCAGTCGCACACTCGCAATCGGAGGAAGAGAAAGATGCTGGACATCAATTTGTTCAGGGAGGAGAAGGGCAACAACCCCGAAATCATCCGGGAATCTCAACGACGCCGTTTCAAAGGCGTTGAGATCGTCGACGAGGTCATCCAGCTCGACAAAGAATGGCGCCAGCGTAATCTTCCATCTCTCTCTCTATATATATATAATATCTATCTATCTCTTTCTCCCTCTAAAACCTTGAGTTTCTCAAAAATGTCTTTCAAAAATCTTCAGTTTTTCGTAATCATTGAGATTTGTTTTGAATGAATTTGATTAGGGTTAAATTATTGATTTTTTTGGTGAAATGATGTGAATTTTTAGGTCAATTCGAGCTCGAAAGCCTTCGGAAAGAGTTCAACAAGATCAACAAACGAGTTGCTCAGCTCAGGATTGTGAGTATTTCGTCTCTCCGTTAATTTTATTATCTGCATGTTATCTTGATTATCGGGTAGTTTTCCGAAAATGCATCATTAGGGTTCTTAATCCTGAATTTTTGGATTGTAATTACTTGTAAAAATCGTATCTCGGTTCTCGGCGCCATTAAGTTAGGTCTGTTTCAGTATATTTTCCCACTAGGATTTGTTTGCCTTGATTTCCTGTTGCTAGTATAAATTACAGAACTTTAAGAATTTGTTTTCAGATCGTTGATTTTGAAAAATAAGTTCAATTGATTTTGAAATGGATTAGGAATTTGCTTAACTAGGGTTGGTGTGGTTGCATGGAATTGCAACGGTGATGTTGATGCTTACTTGAGTGTTCATATTAATATGTCTACTACTGCACTCGTAGGCCTGTGAATGTAATGCAGACCCTCTGCATATGCAGATATGAGAATGAGTGTGGAAACCTAGGTCACTAAACCATGAATAAGATTTTTATTCTCTCTCTTAAAGATAAGAACAGATTCTTATATGCCATCAAGTGCGGTTTGACTGAATGTGTTTTCTTTAAGTATGCATGTGTCTTATTGAAATATGAGGTTTTTTATTTATGGACTGAATGTTAAAAAAATTTGGATTGAAAGGCGGGAGAGGATGCAACTGAGGTGATAAAGGACACAGAGGACAATAAGAGGTTGGCGGCAGAGAAAGAAGTTGAAGTGCGAGAAGCTTTAACACAGTTGAATTCAAAATTGGAAATTGTTGGAAACCTTGTGCATGATTCAGTTCCCATCAGCAAAGATGAGGTAATGATTTGGCACATCGATTTTGCTTTTACCATTGCTCTTTGTAATGCTTATTCTGATGCGGGGTTTTTATGTATTTTAGGAGAATAATGCTGTGGTTAGATCATGGGGTGACAAACGAGTGGAGCCAAAACTTAAAAACCATGTTGAGCTTGTTGAGCTTCTTGGGATCGCAGACTTGAAGAAAGGTATCGAGTCCATTCTGTTTCGGGGTCTATGGGGTTTGAAAAGAATTGAAAAAGTTATGGATGATTTTACATTTTTACTGAACATGGCATGGGAATATGGCATGTATAATCTCCAGATTTGCCTAGTTCTGCACTAGCCTGTTTTTAACTCAATCTGCTTAAAATGTATAGGCGCTGAAGTGGCGGGAGGTAGAGGTTTTTACCTGAAAGGTGCTGGTGTACGCCTTAATCAAGCTCTGATAAACTTCGGTCTTGATTTTCTTGAGAAAAGAGGATATACAGAACTGCAGACCCCATTTTTCATGAGAAAAGATATCATGGGAAAGTGCGCTCAATTAGCCCAATTTGATGAGGAACTTTACAAGGTAATTTCTGGTAATATTTGCCAATAGTTTTTGTTTTATAGGGCCATATAGAGTTGGCACCCATGCTTTAGGTCGTATTTTTTGAAATTTTAACTTATAAATATATGGGCTTTATTTCGTGTTAATTTGTCAAGAGACTAGAAATTTTTGGTATTGTGGATGTTTTTCATTCTAAAGTTTCAGTGAATCCATCAGTGAGATCATATTTTCTACATTTGGTTTACCTAATGTGAGGATGACTAATTTATTTTTGTGGAACAGGTTACCGGTGAAGGTGATGACAAATATCTGATTGCTACAGCTGAACAGCCACTTTGTGCATATCATCTAGATGATTGGATCCATCCATCCCAGCTACCCTTAAGGTAGTAACATGCTGTTGGAAAATTCATGTATAAAAGATGATATTTTTATTCTGTTCATTAATTTTTAGGGTTTTTTTTTTGTCTCTCAGATATGCTGGATACTCATCCTGTTTCCGTAAAGAAGCTGGTTCACATGGTCGAGATACCTTGGGAATTTTCAGGGTTCATCAGTTCGAGAAAGTTGAACAATTCTGTATTACAAGCCCAAATGGCAATGACTCTTGGGAAATGCATGAGGAAATGATCAAAAACTCCGAGGAATTTTATCAAGCGGTATAAATTTATTCCCTGAGAACTTTCTTGTTCCTTTTCATATTTTTTATTATTTTGTGAAGTCTGGAAATGACTATTTAGTGACTCTGTCACTTTGGAGTGTCAAATGGCTTCTATAGCACATAGACCATATTTTTAGGTTTATGTTTATTATACTTTTAGGGACGAAAATATTTAAATTGCATGTTTGCCATTGTATCGGTCAGAGAGATTGATGCAACATCTATCCCTGCTTTTTGTGGAAGAAAGTTGGATACTTTTTTATGGATAATGTAGATGTGCATCTTCTGTTTATTTGTGTCATTTCTAAGCTTGATATTTTGAATTTTGTCACTTTCAGTTAGGGCTCCCCTATCATATTGTGTCCATTGTTTCTGGTGCTTTGAATGATGCCGCAGCAAAGAAGTATGATCTGGAAGGATGGTTTCCTGCATCGCAGACATATAGAGAGCTGGTTTCTTGTTCAAACTGTACGGACTACCAGTCAAGAAAGTTAGAAATTCGATATGGGCAGAAAAAGGTAGGTCCTCGGAAATCTGACATTATATCACATTTCTGATTACTGCGGACTGTACTCCTAATTAACGTAAAGATTTATATTGCGTGCCTCAGAAATTTAATTGAAAATAAGATGAATAATACTTTTACAGTAGGTCATATGCCATTGAACCGTATGCTCTGATCAAATGTAGGAAAAATTCAGTTCATGTGGTGTTAAACATAGAATATGTGGTCACCTATTGAAATTTTATCTTTTACTCATTGTGCTTATCTTTCACTCATTGTGCCTTTGTTCTTTTGCAGAGCAACGAGCAGACAAAGCAATATGTTCACTTATTGAACTCGACTCTTACAGCGACTGAGAGAACTGTATGCTGCATTCTCGAGAACTACCAGACTGAAGAGGGTGTAAACGTACCAAAAGTTCTTCAACCTTTCATGGGTGGAAAGGAATTCCTACCGTTCAAGGCGAAACCGGCCCCTGAAGTCAAAGGGAAGAAATCGAAGGCCTAAAATTCGTAATTTTTTCAGTCTTTAATGAAGAATACATTAACGAGAGTAGTTCATGATACATCGGCGTGCGTAAACTCCTCTGATGATTGTTTTGAGAAACCCTGAAACCCAAATGCCATGTCTTCATCTTTGATGTAATGAATATTTATATTCAGAACAACTTGTTTAGTTTTGGTTTGTCCTACAAGATTCATATTTTGCCTTCTGATTTCTGATAAGGAGTATGCTTGCGCCGCAAGAAACCTTAATTACGTAATGTTTAACGGAGTTGATTTACGGAGAGTTTTGCTTTGAACATTGAAAGGGTAAATTGTTCATACATTCTGCAGTCGCATCGTCCCCTTTCTGAAAGAAATCTATTTTTTCTTCTGCTGCAGGGTTCGCCATCGCCACCATGATCATTTGAAACAAGATCGTCAGGAATTCACATCAACGTCGATTCTCAAAGTGTTTGAAAAGCCGTTCTTCAACTTCGTCCGGGGATTCGGTTTGAAAAAACTGACGATGATGTTGAAATGAAGAAATCAAATTTCTTTCCCAGTCACTTTTCCCATAAGCTGCATTCAGTTTGCGCCCGCATTGCAAATTCTGCGTTGTACAGGATAAATCTTGAAAGTCTTTTGAAGCTTCTTTTCTTTTTAATTTTATTTTTTGTTGCTCATCTACTTTCGTCAGTTGATATTTAATTTCGAACTGTTAAATAATTGAGCTTTGATTTCTGATATTTTAGCCAATTTTCAAAATCTTTTTCGAATCTCTTTTCATATATGCAACAAAATAACTCAATTTGAGCCCGCAAATTGGAAAATTTTAGGAATAATACTTGGCTATTCAAAGATGAGTAGGAACTCCTACCCAAAATTTCTCAAAATTGTTCGTTGTTAGTTTATATTAGTTCGTGTTTATAATCAGAACCGTTCATATTATAAATCACCTTATAAAGATCACCTTTGCAAAAAATCAATTAAAACTAAGGTTGATTAGTTATCAAACTGTTTTAAAAAATGAACGGTATTGGTAAAAGCATTACAAACCGTCTATGTATTTGCTACAATAGATTGTCTAGATGACCTTAGTTTTAATCTATTATTTTGCAAAGATGATTTTTATAGTGTGATTTATATTATAAATGGTTCTGATCATAGGCACAAAGCTCTATAATTAAAACATTAAGAATTTTGAGTCGGAATTTCTACTCATTTTTTAGTAGTCAAGAATTGATCAATTTTTTGCATGATTAGGATCAAAATCGTGGAAATTACTGTATTTGCAATCTTGCTTTGCTGTCGAAGTCAAAAGAGCGATGATTTTGAAGCATCAATTTTTAGATTATCTCTCTCGTCCACAATATGACATGGAGATTCCCATTTCCCAGCTCATATGATCTTTTGTCTATTTCCCTACTTTGTATGGTTGCTTCTATAATTTTATGTATTCAACATCAAAGCCACCGATAGTTTTGTTAATTGGAATTGAGGATGCATAATATGATTTTATATCCCTTATCTCTTTCACGTTACATATGAAAAAGTCACGTGATGAATAAGATAAAAAAAGAGTTTATATCTTCAATTACATGTAAGAATTATTGCCAGGATTTGAAAAAAGTGTTATATGAATAAAATAGTAAGGCCATTTTGCTGAGCGAAGGTGCGAGCCTACTTAAATATGTTACGATTACAAGCCTAGTCTACTAAAATAGGGCTTTGAGGGGATAAGGGAAGGGAAGAAAACACAAAGATGGTCACTCCTTTAAGGAACATGACTAGTTCATTCACTTGCTCATGAACTTGCAGTTTGACAAAAGTGACGAAGGGGCAAAGCTGTCTACGAAGCTTCGCCCCTTGCTTTACGAAAATTGTTATGAACTGACTGATGATTAGATTCTCCCTGAACACTAACTAAGCTAATAAGCAGTATTAGTTCCCTTCAATCAAATCAATAAGCTTGCATCAAATTTGTTACTCTTAAAAGAACTTTTCCCAATAAAGCTATATGCTGGATATGATATTTATACTTTCGAATTTGCAGTAACAAAACTCACATTTACCAGAGGCCAAAAACATATATTTCTTGTAAGCCTATAAATCTAAGGGTCTCAAAATACATTGTGTATATATAAAAAAAGGTCCTAAAAGTACAAAAAATGTCTGAACTTTCCTGACAATATAGGTAGCTTTTATGAAGAGGTAGCTTCTACTTGTACTAAACAAGATATTTGTGTTGTTCTGGAAAACCTACCTATTGTGCAATGGGTCAGGAGAAGAGGGCACGTTTCTGTTGCTTGTGGGAATAAAACCTTCATCTTCTCCGGTTGAGTTGAAAACTCGAGGCTTCCCCAGATTCTCCACCTTCTCGTTTAAACATCTAGCTCCGGAAACGCCGTCGTCGCGCAAGCCGGAGATGCCCAAGAAAATCAACAGAAGGCCAATGGCTTGATTCCTTGTGATGAACATGGCTTCCGTAGATCCAAAAATGCTGTTTTTGTCTCCCTTCAGCTTCTTTTTAAGCAAAAATGCTGGTTTCTTGTTCAAACTGTACGGACTACCGGTCAAGAAAGTTAGAAATTCGATATGGGCAGAAAAAGGTTTGTCCTCGGAAATCCGACATTATATCTCATTTCTGATTACTACGGACTGTACTCCTAATTAACGTAAAGATTTGTAATGCGTGCCTCAGAAATTTAATTGAAAATAAGATGAATAATACTTTTACAGTAGGTCATATACCATTGAACTGTACGCTCTGATCAAATTTAGGAAAAATTCTGTTCATATGGTGTTAATTGAACACAGAATGTATGGCCTACCGATTCCTGTAGAAAAAAACATAGAATGTATGCTCACCTATTGAAATATTATTTTTTACTCATTGTGCCTTTGTTCTTTTGCAGAGAAACGAGCAGACAAAGCAATATGTTCAATTGCTGAACTCGACACTTACAGCGACTGGGAGAACTGTATGCTGCATTCTGGAGAACTACCAGACTGAAGAGGGTGTAAACGTACCAAAAGTTCTTCAACCTTTCATGGGCGGAAAGGAGTTCCTACCATTCAAGGCGAAACTGACCCCTGAAATCAAAGGGAAGAAATCGATGGCCTAAAATTCGTAATTTTTTTCAGTCTTTAATGAAGAATACATTAACGAGAGTAGTTCTTGATACATCGGCGTGCGTAAAGTCTTCCGATGATTGTTTTGAGAAACCCTGAAACCCAAATTCCATGTCTTCATCTTTGATGTAATGAATTAAATATATTCAGAACAACTTGTTCGGGCAAAAATTTCTATGGAGAACACTCCTTGGACCTCAACACAGCTCTTCAAGGGATTGGCACTTTAGATGTATATGTTTGGTAATCGAGCTCTTACTTGCTTGGTGTGCTGCAATAGGAGCTTAAAATTAGTTCTGAAGGGTGCCCTTGTGGGGTCTTAGGTGTAAGCCTTAAGGCTTGCAATCAAAACTAACTAAATGCTTAGGCGTGCCACTTCTATTTCAGTATAACAGATGTAGAAGTGTGTTTTAAGTTGATCACTTGCATCCCAAGTTACTCTAACTTCTACCCTAACTTCTTGTTATCAAAGGATTGTCACAGATAGGTTAAGTCTGTATTAAGTTCTTGTTCTTACCTTGTAAGCAAGGAGTTTGAGTTCATGGTCTTGTATGTTTGAATGAAGGGAGTCCAGAGCCCCTTAAGTTATTTGTTTGATCCAAAACTGCTCTTAATGGAAACATATTCATTAAGCTAACCAGATCCAGATGCAAATGAGACTCTTAAAATAGAAAAACATGTGGAAATAACTTGAATACATGCTGGAGAATGCATTAAGCAATAGATCTACTAATTTAGAAAACAAACAAAGAGTTTCGGGCAAGATTTCACCTTGTATGGCAAGGTTGAACTTCTTGCAATCACTTCTCTTTGAATTTACAGGGGTTATAGGCTAAAAAGTGATGGATGGTAAACAAGTTTACACGAGGGAATCGATACTACAACACTAAGGGAGGTAGTAGAGATTTTATACCAGACAAGAGATAGCTTTTCTAAAGAACTATCGCTAAAAGAACTAAATTTGGGATGATTTCAGTTTTTTGGTTGCAAATCTAGTTTGAGAGCAGAGTTTGTATGTTTGTTTGATGGGTTGAGTGTCCTTTGTCTTTAGGGCCTGTCTTCCCTTTTATAGACAATTTGGCCTAACTGTTGTAGCTTTTGCTCTTGCCCTAAAGCACTTGGAGGGTAGCGAGTCATCAACTTTTTACTAGTAATGCCACTAGAAAGTGTTCTTTGGCTGATAGTAGGTTAGTTTTCATCACTTGTCATTTCAATTATAGACATGTGGCTTGTATCTTGGCTGAGAAGGCTTCAATTTGCTTCTGGGCTTGATGCTCAGCTTTGGGCAAGTCTCCCTTTTAGTTGGCATCCTTGGGCTTTCCTTCATTCAAGCCCAATATTCAAATATTAACCCAAACACAACTTGTTTGGTTTTGGTTTACAAGATTCATATTTTGCCTTCTGATTTCTGATATGCACAGTTATTTCTGATAATGAGTATGCTTATGCCACAAGAAACCTTAAATACGTAATGTTTAACAGAGTTGATTTATGGAGAGTTTTACTTTGAACATTGAAAGGGTAAATTGTTCATACATTTTGCAGTCTCATTGTCCCTTTTCTAAAAGAAATCTATTTTTTCTTCTGCTGCAGGGTTTGCCATCGCCACCATGATCATTTGGAACAAGATCGTCAGGAATTCACATCAACATTGATTCTCAAAGCGTTTAAAAAGTCGTTCTTCAACTTTGTCCAGGGATTCGGTTTGAAAAAACTGACGATGATGTTGAAATGAAGAAATCAAATTTCTTTCCCAGTCGCTTTTCCCATAAGCTGCTTTCAGTTTACGCCCGCATTGGAAATTTTAGCCAATTTTCAAATTCTTCTTCGAATCTCTTTTCATATATGCAACAAAATAACCCAATTTGAGCCCACAAATTCGAAATTTTTTGGAACAATACTTGGCTATTCAAAGATGAGTAGGAACTCCTACTCAAAATTTCACAAAACTGTTCGTTGTCAATTTATATTAGTTCGTGTTTATAATTAGAACCGTTCATATTATAAATCACCCTATAAAGATCGCATTTGCAAAAAATCAATTAAAACTATGGTTGTTTAGTCATCAAACTATTTAAAAACAAAGGAACGGTATTGGTAAAAGCATTACAAACCATCTATATATTTACTATAATAGATTGATTATATGTCCTTAGTTTTAAGGTGTGATTGATAGTATATACGGTTCTGATCATAGGCACAAAGCTCTGTGATTAAAACACTAAGACTAAGAGTTTTGAGTAGGAGTTCATACTCATCTTTAAATAGTCAAATATTGTTCAATTTTTTGCATGATTAGGATCAAAATCGTGGAAATTACTGTATTTGCAATCTTGCTTTGCTGTCGAAGTCAAAAGAGCTATGATTTTGAAGCATCAATTTTTAGATTATCTTTCTCGACCACAATATGACAGCTCATATGATCTTTGTCTATTTCCCTACTTTGTATGGTTGCTTCTATAATTTTATGTATTCAACATCAAAGCCACCCATAGTTTTGTTAATTGGAATTGAGGATGTTTAATATGATTTTATATCCCTTTTCTACATATGAAAAAGTCATGTGATAAGTGAGATAAAAAAAAAAGTTTATATCTTCAGTTGCATGTAAGAATTATTGCCGAGATTTGAAAAAAGTGTTATACGAATATAATAGTAAGGCCATTTCGCTAAGCGAAGCTGCGAGCTTGCTTAAATATGTTACGGTTACAAGCTTAGTCTACTAAAATAAGGCTTTGAGGGGTAAGGGAAGGGAAGAAAACACAAAGATGGTCACTCCTTTTAGGAACATGGCTCATTCATTCACTTGCTCAGTAACTCGCAGCTTCGGCAAAAGCAATGAGGGGGGGAAAGTTGTCTACGAAGCTTCGCCCCTTACTTTACAATGATTGTTATGAATTGACTGATGACTAGATTTTCCCAGAACACTAGCTAAGCTAATAAATAGTATTAGTTCCCTTCAATCAAACCAATAAGTTTTTATCATATTTGTTACTCTTAAAAGAACTTTCCCATTTGGGTTCGATTTGGTTGATAAAAGCTATATGCTGGAGATGATATTTATACCTTCGAATTTGCAGTGACAAAACTCATATTTACCAGAGGCCAAAAACGTATAATTTCTTGTAAATCTATAAATCTAGAAAGTTTTAACGAAAAACTCTCAGTACTGTTTACTTTAATAAAAAACCACATTTTTACTCTAAAAAGTCAATCCTGGTACTGTTCACTTACAACACATTTTTGTCATTTTCGTTAAAACTCAAAGTTTTCAAGTCATTTTTATTAGTTTCCCTATAAATGGTTCTCAAAATACATTGTATATATATATATATAAAAAAAAAGAAGTCCTAAAAGTACAAAAAAGGTCTGAACTTTCTTGACAATATAGGTAGGTTTTATGTACAGGCAGCTTCTACTTCTTCTAAGCAAGGTATTTGTGTTGTTCTGGAAAACCTACCTATTGTGCAATGGGTCAGGAGAAGAAGGCACTTTTCTGTTGCTTGTGGCAAAAAAACCTTCATCTTCACCAGTTGAGTTGAAAACTCGAGGCTTCCTCAGATTCTCCACCTTCTCGTTTAAACATCTAGCTCCGGAAACGCCGTCGTTGCGCAAGGTGGAGATGCCCAAGAAGATCAACAGAAGGCCAATGGCTTGATTCCTTGTGATGAACATGGCTTCTGTAGATCCAAAAATACTGTTTTTGTCTCCCTTCAGCTTCTCTTTAAGCAAACATGTGGAGAGTATATAGATCCAACTTTTGGGTTTCTTTTGTGTTGAGAGAGAGGAGAGAGAGAAGAGAGAGAGAGAGAGAGAGAGAGATTGGGCGTGTTGAGAAAGGTGGCATGTTTTAAAAGGGAGGAGAGAAGAAAGAGTTGGGAGTTACAAATGGGAATTATGTATTTGGTGGTGTGTGTGAATAAGTGTGCATGAGTGAAAAATTGGTCAGATTCCCAAGTCATAAATTATGATAGGAGTGAGACTTAACTAATGGCTTTGTGATGGTTGTTTGTTTGACTGGTTGTGTGTGACTTGTGCCCTACATCATCCCAAAACATCATTGTTTTAATATGGTTTAACATCTCACAACTACCAAACTTTCAACAGCAACAATAAAATTTTATTTCACTAAGTGAGATCGATTATATAAATTTTAGAACGTTACTGTATTCGGTCTTGCACTAAGTTTTTCGTTAGTTTTAAGTATTTCATATCTTTTATTAAAGTTTCTTTGCAAGTCATCCAGGGTCTTCCTCTAACTTTTTTGTCCAGAACCTCTATCTCATAATTGTATTTTCTAACTTGAACATCTGTAGGTATTTTATATAAGAGAACACAAGATATATCAGAGTATAGGATAAAGCATTTGATGACTTGAGTTACAATTTGTATAAATAAACTACCACTTTAATAACAAATAGCATAAATAAACGTTATTAAACACTTGAGTTACACATCTTGCAACTTAAACCAGATATGATTCATGGATAGCGATTTGTGCTAAAGTCGTATCAAACCAACCAACCAACCAGTCCAATTATATGAAATATTATAAAACTACTACTAATCAAACCTTAATTCAACTTATGCATTTCTTCATAAAGTTCCTCAAATTCAGGATCTTGGCTTTGACTCTTCATTTAGGTTGTCTTCAGTTTCTTCATCTGGATTTTCAAGTGTCGGTAAACAAGTTCAAATCTTTTGCATCCATTTTGTGAGTGGTTCTTCTGTAGCCTTTATTATTTATTAACACGAGTTTATGATAACATAGTTAAAAATGATTAAGTTTATTGACACGTGTCAATCAATGAGTGCAGAATATTTAAACTCTCTCTAAACTAGTAAAGTGCTAGATTCCATATGAATATATTCAATTTTCTAGGCTAACGTACGATAAAATCACATTGCCTTTGTCTTGCTGTGTTTACGTTTTTTTTTTTTTTTTTTTGTACTGTAATTATTTATTTTTACCATGCTCTTTGTTTCTTCTTTTGGACTAGCTTATATGGAAGTTTTTCCATTAATGCATCCCTTCTTTATTTAATCTCACTGTTAAGAATCTTAAGATTTCTCTAATCCTTTCTTAATCTTGTCTTAGATGTCTCTTACCCAATGTTTGGTCTTGTGACTGATCATGTGCCACCTTCACCGCATACCGATTAACGTTTGGTTTAGTAGTAATTATCTGCTCTTGATCGGAGGTCTAGACTCACTGGAGGCAAGAACGATATATACTTGTGATTGTTGAGCAGGGGCGGAGCCACCAAGGGATTAGGGTAGTCCCAGGCTTCTGTGAAAGGTGTATGAAATCAACTAGTGACCCCAAGTTTATATTTGCAAAGGTGTGAAACTCATGGAAGAAGATGCAACAAACGACATCGTTAGGCTGCTTTGGTTTTGAATTTGTTTGACTGTTTAATGAAACGATCAGTTTGGTAGGGGAGTTTTTAGAAGAGATGTGGAATTTTAAAGGGAGTTTTAACGAAAAGTTCGCGATGCTGTTCACTTTAACGAAAAAACACATTTTTACACTAAAAAGTCAATCTTGTTACTATTCACTTTACCCTTTATTTTGTCCTTATCATTAAAATTCAAAGTTTTCAAACCCTTTTCATTAGTTTTCCTAATTTTAAATGGAAAAAGCAACCCCACTACTGATTTGATTCTCTTATCTAACGGTACTATACACACTATAATTTTCTAACGCAACCCACCTTCTTCCTTATTTGCAGACCTCTTCCCCTAATCCTTCTTTTTCTACTTCTTTGTACTTTCTTTAGCCTTCCACAGTCTACCTCTTACTTGGTTGTCTGGGTTTGTACATATTTTTCCTCTTAGTATTGAATTTAATAGAGTTTTTCAGTTTTGTGAAGATTACACAAATTGCATATATTAACATGTTATGAATTCAACTTTCACACACATGCATATATATGTATGTAGGTATGTATATTTGTAAAAGCCCCTCCTCACTCAGAATTCTAGCTCCACCACTGTTATTGAGAAAAGTAAAGCCAGTTAAGGCTTATTTAACGTGATATGATATTGATCTGATATCAATCACCCAAATTGATTTCTTTCCTTTCATATTAGCGTGACATGTGTATTGTGTTTATCCGATATCAATAAATCCGTCCACAATTATTGAATTTTTTACAATGATGAGAGAGTTTGATAATTAGATGTGGCTACCCTAAGAAAATGATTTATGCACAACTTTTTCCCTTTTGCTCTTTATTATGTCTCTTGCTTCTCATTCGATTATTGGTACTGGTGAATTATTCGATGGTGGCCAAGGAAGGCAAAATGAGTCTGTCCAGCCCCCGGAAGGATAGATTGTCGTGGCGAAGCAACTAGCTGGCCCCCTTTTAAAAACAATCCAAAATTCATAATGAGAAATGATTTATGCACACATATTTTCCATAATAAGAAATGATTTATGCACACCTATTTTCACGTCGTGCGCATCCTATTTTCTTTCTAGCTATGAGAATGAAAGATCAAAATAAGAGAGTGGCAGAAGATGAAAATGAGTTTATAGAAATCACTCCCTACTAAAAGTAAATCAAGGTGCGCACGGAAAGAAAAAGAGTGAAAATACTATTAATCAATTGTAGTGCGATAACTTTGTTATAGGTTTATGACCCTTTGTAAAACTTAAGGAAATAATGTGTCTTCCACGGCATATTCATATAGTTATTTTTGTGTTGGTTATCATGTGTAACAGAAACCAGCATGCATTTCAGCTATTGTGTTTGTGTGGGTAAAATTAAAGAAAAACTAATGAAAAAGACTTGAAAACTTTGAGTTTTAAACAAAACGACAAAATAAAGGGTAAAATAAATAGTACCGGTATTCACTTTTTAGTAGAAAAATATGATTTTTCGTTAAAATGAACAATACCGAAACCCTTTGGTTAAAGTTCCTAAAATTAACGCATGCGTTGCCAAAAGTGATGAGGATTAAGGGCCAAGTTGCACCCAGTAAAAAGTAAAACTAAAGAATTGTAATGAATTTAATAAGATAGACATGCCCCAAACAGGCCTGTTTGATGAATAGGTTATAAAAACCTGGTAAAACACTTTTGTTTGTCGACTGAGAGATCAAAATTTTAGATTACTTTTTATAAATCACATATGATGGTTGATGATTAGAATTTTTAAATTATTAAAAAATAAGTCCAATTTTTATCTGTCAGAGAAAATTTTTAGTGTGTCGAGAATAAAGCCAGATACCACAAATGTCATATAACAAGTGGTTGAATTACTTGTTTTTATTCAATCCCTTATATAATGACACAATGTTCTCGGCACATAAAAATCTCTTCATTCACCATATCATGTGATCTACAAAAAAAATAATTAAAAATTTTTATCTCCCTAATTAATTTAATCCTAATTATGTGTAAAGTTTATCTCTCTCTCTCTCATTTCTTTATTACTCGTGTTTAGCTCTGTCTTATTCTTCCATTGTAATCCGTCAGTCTTGTTTTCATTTGTCTCTCCATCATTTTCTCTTTAGTTCTTTTTTTCTTTTCGATTAACTTTTTGCATTAGAAAAATTAACACCATATTCTTTTGAGAAAACGAATTTTAAATTATTCTAAGTTATGATGAGGACATAAATTATCGGTAGCACTACAAATTAGTGGTGTTTCTGTTTACGATTTCATGTTCAATATCTATGAATGACTAGTTAGATATTTATAATTATGTCGGTCTTACGGTTAGCTCAATCCTAACACGGAAATATTGAATTACAAAAATGATGAGGATCGGACTTTGACTCAGCTTAAGAGTCACGCAAAATGTTTTGACCAACTAACCTAACACATATTTACTATAAAAATAACACCATTCTACGCAAAATTAGGTATGAAATATTAACAGCTTTTTAGCCAAAATGATCATTAAGACTGACATAACTCCTCACTTTGGTCGTTGAGATTAAAAATCGATAGAAGTCGTTCTTGAGTTTGTCCATCGTAAATCATTTTGGTCATTCCATGAAAAAAAACTCGATTATATTGCCGGTATTTTTGTCCAATCAAACCTCACTTGCTTTTTCATTTAACAGAGATTAATCAAGGTTACCAAAATGATTGAAAGTGGACAAACTTCAGGACCACTTCTATCGAATTTCAATGTCAGAGACTAAAATGAGGAGTTATGCCAACTCATGAAACATTTTGTCTAAAATGCCAAAATTAGTTTAATGTTTCTTTTTTTCCTAGAATTTAAGTTGAGGCAGGAATCAATGTCATTGATTGAACTTTTGAATGGAAATGTAGATTAATTTAGACGGCACAGGCCAAGACCATACTAATTGACTTAATTACGAGATGCTAATTTAGTTGACTTTACCCAAAGTTGGTTTAGTGTGATCACTGTGATGATTATTAGGCTTTGGTTTGTAGAAAAATGACAAGGAAATCACCAAATTCCTTCTGGTAATCATGAAACTACAAGAAAATTTAAGGAGCCGCCTTTCTTCACATGAATACACATAACTTACATGTACCATTAAGAGCAATGCTAACGTCAGTCATCTCGCACAATACACATGAGCTGATTTTGGCAATTGTATATGTGAGCTGATGTTGACTGTTGATATACGCAGAGTTCATAAATCCATCAATTGTAAATCAACAACTAAAAGTAGCATTTTTCTTAGAAGTGTTTGTCAATTTGAAACACTTCTCGTTAAATCTATATATAGTCCCATCACGCATTTTGGTATATGTAAATGTGGAAAAAAAAAAAAAAAAAAAATTGGAATCAAAATTAATGCTAAAGATTTTCTTTTTAAAAAATTTAATATTATTAAGGAGAGGAGAGAGTTTATACAACCAAATCCGCAATCCCATCCAATCTTGACGGTTTCAAAAGTCGGGATCCAATTTAATCCGCTAAATGATTGAACCAACCAAAATCGGATTGGATTGGACCGGACCAAATCGGTCGGGTTTTATTGGAAATCAAACACCCTTACTGGATCTTCATACCGTTAGTCATACCTCTCAAGAACCCAAATTGTTCATCAAATGATACATTGGATTATTGGAAGCTTCACTAAACCAAATCCATCAACTTTTAGACTCAAACCTATTATATCATTTGTATAGTAAAATGAGGGAGGTTCACTCCCTAATTCACGTCGACCGCTCACCCGGACCAGAAATATCGAACATCGAGCACATACGCTGATACATACGAATTTGTATTGCCGGAAAGAATGAATACAAGATGTTTCTTCAGTTCAACTATATTTCAGCTAACAGTAACAAGTCAATGGACCAAAAGCACCTCACTGTGTAATCTACAACCTTTTGTTTATGCCTCTTTACGAAAGCACGGTTTAAATCTTACACTGTGACGGTGAACAAGTAGAGTTTTAGGACGACAGACAGAGCCAACTGCAGTAGAAAGATCCCGGCTACAATCAAGAACCACCTTTCACCTGCTGATACGATGTGGGCGCGAAGGTTAACTGCGACAAAGGTGGCAGACATAACCCCAGCTACGCCTGCAATTACCCATCTAAAAATTTCCAAAGGCACAACTGAGAGGCACTGCAACCAAACAGAGTAGGAATGTCAGCTATCTATTACCATCCAACTCAATGGGAGATATTTTTTGTATTTCAGCATTCAAACATCGCAACACAACTATGGAACTGCTGTAGCGCTTATTAAAAACTTGGCCCGTAACGAAACAAGGATAAATAAATAAGATGCCAAAACTGAGTCTTAACTAAAACATTTTGTTTCTAAAACTGTTAGAACTAACAATCATTAGGAAAGCTTCTCCAGGATTATGACAAAGCTAGCGAAAGACCATTTGATATAGCTTGAGACCACAGGCATAAGCTTTCGAAAAAGGGTTCAATTCGAATCTTCCACACCCAAAACATCTTTTTGGCAATAGATATAATGAAAAGACTATGTTCAAAAACCACTGACTTACCAATGCTGGAATGAAGACAAACAGGGAGTAGCCATAGAGACAAAACAGCTGAACGAGACCTGATGGTGCCGAGAAGTATTTGAGAATTACATACAGTACAAGAGGAACAAAAGTGACATAGCCATAGAACAATCCTGCAGACCACTGGACCACATTAATGTCATATTCCCAATCTTTACTCTTGATCTTGTGTGCTACATATGTCACAAAAGTGCCAATGGCAGCTGCTACAAATATAAGGGTAGTGCATATCCAGAAAGGTCCATACCTGCACAGCATTTGAAGTTAAGATCAGACGACAGGTGTCTCACAATATAGATAATATTACTGAATAAACACTTGCAAATCTAAAATAGAATGATATAAAATATAACATCAAGATACGGTGGAGAATTTTATTCAATGCAGTTCCGAAGCCAAGTTTCACATTACTAAAATTGTTATTGAATACAAGTACATGTATGGTGCCAGCAACAAATCCAGCATCAGCGGAATTTGCAGACTATGCTTATACCATCACTGTGCAGCAATGCCGTTAGACCTTGACTTGTTAATTGGCATGATTCTACTAATTGTAGAACAGTTCGGACATGTTTCAATATTTTTTCTAATTTAAAGAATAATTATTGTAATTTTAGTTAAGTTACCAAACGAAAACTTACAAATCAGGGCTGTTTGATGTTTTCTCATTGAAGGTTCCACTGAATGGAAGGAGTGAATCTTTAATCCTCTCTAGAACATCTGATGTGTCAACATCAAAGTATTGCTTGTAAGAAGCTACAGAGAATATCCGTAGCCAACCACCTTGCTGGGGTTCATCAGAACCAGATACAGGTTTAGAAAATGTGTCTGTATCAAGAGAGAAAACATGGATATTAGACCATAGTATGACACGACAACAAATGACAGTCATAGAAAACAGAATTTAAATTAGTCAAATAATATTCTGGAACATTTACAGCCAGTAGTTTTAACACTCCGTATGAATAATAGAACTCACTTTTATGTTACATTTAACAACTATTGGGTATAGTAATACCAGATATACAAAATGAGGAGGCGAAGCAGATTTCAGTCTTGCTTGTTAAATTACCATAAGCATGTGATGCAGTTTAAAGAACGAAATCATAACTTCAACCACATTTGTTTTGGAATCTTGTTGACTTTCAAGGGTACACCTAAAAACTATTACTACTACTGCAGATCTGTTTTTCCCTATGGCCGATCAAACCCAGTCGAGTCTCACAAATGTCATGAGCACTTTGATCTCATCAAATCCAACTGGTCAACCTCCCATGCATTTGCTTCCTTGATTCATATACACTTAATCATTAACATATTGCTAGCGTTTTAAAAGCATAATCAAATGAACAAAGTTCTCTCACCGTTTTCCATTAGATCTAGACTCACTTGAAAAATAGGTCCCTACTTAAAGAACTACAACGAAAAAAGCATGAAGTTTTATCATCCTTCATGATCAATGATCACCTCAAAGACTTTAAACTTAGGTTTAAAAGCCTTTAGGTATTCAATCTGAAGATTGTATTCACCAGAAAGTCACATATCAAAGCAAAACATGATTCACAAATTCCATTAGTAAAAGTAGAACTTGTGTGTACCATCAGCATCACTAGGAGGGAGGGCACCACGAGCGATCTTCCCTTGTGTCTCGGATGGAGGAAATGTCTCAAGGGTTGAATCTGCAGAATTTTGTAAAACATACATTTCATAAACGAAAAAAAGATAGGATCTTGAAGCTAGAAACCTAAAACCTATCATTGAGCTGGAAGTTACTTACATTAAACTCAACTAACCAGAAGTTAATTCCTTTGAATATACAAATCAATGAATCCCTTTAGCAATATAGACTTCAGTTGAAAATTTAACCTAATCAAAAGCTGTTTGATTGCTAAGAAAATTAGAATTCCATTTCTCTAATTCTATTCCTGCATCAATTCCCAACAGCTAAACAAAATGCTAAAAACACAAAGCCGCAAAGATTTGCAGCTGATTATCCCAAATCTAATCTGGTTTCGCATTATTTTCCTTCCAATTTTCGCGCCAACCAAACAGAAGGTACTTAAATTCCACAAAGCAATCACTAATTTCCAGAACTCAAAAGTAGAAACACGAATCGTACCTTGGAATTTCACGGTGAGGTGGCCTGGATCTGGAACCGCCTGCAAAATTATCCGCCACCATTTAAACATATATACATATATATATATATATATATCCGTAATTTTCACGGAATTAAGAAATTGAATATTCAACTTACAGCAGGAACAGATCCGGAGACGTTTTGGTTGTCAATGGTGGTATAATTTCCGGACATCATCTTGCCCTCTCTCTGTTTCTTCTTCTTCTTCCTGGTTGTGTCCGCTCTCTCGCTTCAGATGAGATCTCTCGTCTTGGCGAGTTGGAGACGGAGTAGCGCGTGGTTTTTATTTTCTTTTTTTTTATTGCTTTTATTTTACTCAGTATTTTTCTCACATGAAATATGAAATTGGTGAGATGAAATATGAAAATAAATAACAAAAAGTGGATTTTAGCCGTCATAGTACTACGGTCTAGTCGTATTTTTTTTTACTTTTTAGAAAAAAATAATACATTAGATTCTCGACAAAGACAAATTTAAACTATTTTTGTCTTCAAACCCAGGATTTTCGCTGCATATTCGTTAAACGAATTTTAACAACTTGAGCTGGAAGCCCTAGCCAACATAACAACACCTTAAGGTTGCATACAATATCAGGTACCTGAATAAATATTCTTAACAAATTGAGTTTCATCATACTTATATAAATATAATTTTTCGTACGAATTTCTTGTATATATTTTTATTCTTGCAATTTTCTTTTTAGTTAGAGATTTTAAGACATTCTTATTAATTTGTATTTCTTTGTTCGTAAGTTCAATTCTCCCGATTTCAGTATCATTTGTATAAAAAATTAAAAAAACTATTATTTCTGATGTCCTCTTCCTTTTGACTCTCATTATTCTTATGTCATTTTCACTTGTTTTTTAAAACAAAATAGTTAGGTAACTAATAAAAACTGACATTACCCATCTCAAAAACCTTAAAATTTGAGCAACGTTTGATGGTAGCTGCCATGTTCACATATAGATTGAAAACTGGATTTCTAGAGACGTGTCTAGAACGCAGGACGGTACAACATATGTTATTGTAAAAGTAGAGGAAAGTTTTTTTTAAAGAAAAATTAATGAAAATGGCTTGAAAATTTTGAGTTTTAACGATAAGGACAAAATAAAAGATAAAGTGAATAGTATCAGATTTGACTTTTTAGTGTAAAAATGTAATCTTTCATTAAAGTAAATAATACCGCGAACTTTTCGTTAAAACTCCCTTTTTTTAAGTGCCTTTCTACTTGTAAAATGACATATAGAATATACGCCTATGTTCCTGACGCAATGAAAATCTCTCATATTTCTGTCAACCAACCTCAATATTGAACATAATTCACAAATAAAATTACTATCGGTAATCACATTTACTAGGGTAATAAATCAATATTTTTGCAGATCAAAAATTCTGAGCTACATTATTTCCCTGATTAAAAGTTTCACCCTAAGAACTAAGCTCCAACAGATTGACAAGGCCACCATCTTGGAAGCAAGGCCGGAACCATCATTCTCCTCTAACAAACAAAACCTCTTTATTAAAAAAATACGAGCTCCTATCCGAAAATTAGTACCCCAAATTCAAAGAGTACATCTGTTTCAACTATTCAGATAAAGACTCCCACACAATTTACATGTGAATTCTGCAAATTCCTGTCGACGCAACTGCAATCAAGCACTTTTTAGTCTGCCCCTTGTGAGCAATAGAGACCTTCTGATTGAAAGTAGAAGAACCCAAGTAGCGGCGGAGATCTTTTCCTTGATCATCAGAAGCAATGCCGAGCTCAGGACGGTCTTCAAGATCTGAGCATGCAAGCCCTTGAAGAAGCCGAAAATCCCTTCCCTTTTCCATATGGCACATAGAACTGCTGGAATCGTTTTGCTGGACTTTGGCTGGGGGTTTTCTCCACCATCTTCGTCAGCAGCTTGGATCATGACCTTACACCTGCAGGAAGTACATATTTCAACTGATTCCATAGGCCAAGCTTGTAAATGAAATAGTTTTGAGAGCGATTATGTACCTGATGGCGGGGTAGGTCAGAACAGTGGCAACAGTCTTTGAGACTGCACCTAAAACAAATGCTGTGAAGGCAGAAAGGGCTTCTGGAGAAGAATCCTTGCCCGTTTTATTCTTCCTTTTCAGGAGTCTCAGTTTTAGCTGATCGAACACTGTATACTGAAGTACGTAACACTTTTCAGTTTCAACCTCAATTATCATCTTAATATATTTTGAGTGAAGGTAATAAGATGCAGTAAAACTTAAATTGTAGAAAACAGAATCAGTAATTTCAGATAAAAAATGCCAAGACAACTACCTGAATTGCAGGGTTCGCGGTCAGCAACAGGGAGATTCCGAGACCATCAAATGCATCAATCCAGCTGCCCTCTGTAAGAGTCTTCCACAAGCCTTTGGATTTTCCAAAGGCACTTGTCTGCATCCTTGACGAGGCTGTATCCAACGGCTAGACAGCAGTAAAACAGACAGTCATTACAAAAATCCATAATCTTCCAATTCTTCATTCACAGTCAGAATAGAACCAAAAGAACGGAGGACTTTACGCAAAATGTTCACCTGAGTTGCAATGGCAGTGCAAGCTCCAGCAGCAGCAGCAAGAACTAAGTTTGCTCTTGTCCCTATCGATTTAACCCCACTTGTTTCCACATAGAGTCTTTTGAAGTAGCTATACCCATAAAAATAAACAAACTGAGAAATGAAGGATTGCAGGTTTTTTGTTTCAAGACCCTGATACAGTGAAAGAACCTGACGTGTGGATATCGCTTCCCAAAACACATCCGAAAGGTTCCTATACAAGCCGTTCATCAAAGAAATTAGTGAGCTATATACCATAAAATTATATGATTGCTGACTCAAACAATATACATTACCACAAAAGCTATTTTCCGCTAGCGGTAGAGAAAATAATAAATGAACCCGATAGAATCACAGTGAACTATACAAAAAAAAAGAAAAAGAAAAGCTTCATATATGCACATATGATCACCGCATAAAATTCCAAGTGCGAAAGTCTAAACAGTTGGGTTGCAACATTCTGGCACTAACCAGACAATCTCGGATACCTGCCGATAAGAACTTACCTTCAACTCAAATGTCACTGTGGCGGTCACGGTATCCCAACCAACACTGCCACGTGGCAGTGCTCGATTGACTTGGGATACTACGCCACAGTGGCATCCCGCTTAATTTATCATTTTCCAATCTCCAAACTTTGTCGAATACATTTTTATCTATGATAAAAACCTTAACAATTTGAGACCAGACGCAAATTAAAAACCCGAAAACGATAGCTGAATTGCATTTAAAGTTAGCAAGTTACCACCTTGAGATAAAATCCGATACGACTCGCAACCCAATTTTATTTATCCCATAAAACTTCCAAAATCCATCTCAATTATCTGCTAATCTAAAAGATTACTCACAAATCACCTACCGACATATCAATCCTAAACAGTAAATACCACCTACCGACACACAAATTCTCACCAAAAACAAATAATTACGCACAATTAAGCTGGAAAACCAATCACAAAACCATGATGGAAAGAAATAACCGACCCAGATGAAAAAATGGTTACCTGTATTTGGCCCGGTCATTGCCTCGAACTTCGGCTTGGTACCTGGTTTTGCAGGTGTCGAGCGGGTACAGCAGGGTGGTGCTGACGAGTGATCCAACGGCTCCTGACGTCGCCTCCGATATAGATTCCAGATCAAGATCAAGACCCATCCTCTCTGAATTTTTATTTTATTTTATTTTAATTTTTTGGTAAACCGGGACGTCAGATATAAAAATATGTGTATATTTATATAGGTGTTGAATATGGTAGGTTCCGATGTGGAGGAGTAGGAAGAGAAGTGACGGAAGCGTAGAGGTGGATCGATACGGTGTCGTTTAGTTAGGATTCGGAAGAATTTTGGTTGTTGTGAACGTGTTTTTTCTTGGTCGTGGTCCGCCACCGGCTATATTTTCCCACGCTGACAACCACATTTCTCACCAACTTATGTCACTTTCCATAACAGCGTCGTAAATGTCCAATATGCCCCTAATATGTGGAGATTTTTCAATGTACTCCAATAACGAGCCTTTTCTACTCATATTATAATAGCACGTAATGTACTATTTTATGTTTTTATTTTTATTTTTTCAGGCTGGTACAATGAAAAATCTCTCTCTTAATATGAACTTCATTAATGCCAAGGGTGCCCATTTGTTAATTTTCTAGGAATGTGGAGTTGTTATATAATGAAAATGAGGAATGCTAAGGATACTTTCTCAATATGGAACACTACATAAATTTTTTGTCACCTCATGTTTTTTACATAATAGTTTATAATGTTAGCACGTGAATTAATGATAAATTGTAAGATGATAGAGTTCATGGAGAGTCACTTTTGAAAGCGTCCCATTAGCACTTCTCAATGAAAAATGTGTTGGAACTTGGAGTGTAATATTATACATGTACATATTTATTCTTTAAAAAATACTTCTATTTGTTTACGAGTCTTAATGATTAAATAGATAATGGGTCTAATTTGGAAGGGTCATATGAGTTGTGACGTCATAATGACAGTAAATCCGTTTCATATCAGTTGTTCTCTTAATTTTAGAATTGAAATAAAAAGGCTGTGTTTGGTACGTGAAAAAGAATTCATAATAAATGATTTCCCATGTGTACTTTGGAGGTCTCTTGGTTGGTAACGATGGGAAAATGGATAGAAAATACTACTTTTTGGGGACATATCATAAATGGGCATTTTTTGTGGAAATTTTAACGAAACACTTCTAGTACTGTTCACTTTTAACGAAAATGACATTTTTACTCTAAAAAGTCACTCCTGATACTATTCACTTACAACACCTTTTTGTCATTTTAATAAAAATTCAAAATTTTCAAGTCATTTTTATTAGTTTCCTTTTTTTTTTAATGTCAATGAAGACATATTTGTCATAAAAATTGACAATCAATGCCTATTTTGGAGGAAGGAAAATGAATACCAAGGAGGAGGGAGGCTGAATTCTTGCATGAATGTGTGAGTTCAAAATTTGTCGGTGTCACATTCCAGACTAGCTCTGTCGTAGCATGATATTTTTCACTTTGGGCCCCGACCATGCCCTCACGGTTTTGTTTATGAGAACTCACGAAATCTATCATTTGACAAAATCTAATATAATATAACAAAAGCCCCGACCATGCTCTAACATCTAATATAACAAAATCTATCATTTGACAAAAAAATAAACTATTTTTCATGCCTAGACTTACCAAACATGGAAAAGGCAACAACTTCCCATTACCAAGCTTTTTCCCTCGCATATACCAAACGTAGTCTAAGAAATAAGAACTATAGATGGGTGTAGAGTAAGAATTTAAACCAACAAACTTTTTGAAGAAAAGTAAGAGGTTGTTGTCGCCTAAATTTAGAGAGAGAGAGAGAGAAATGGGGCGTTGAGAAAATATGAAGAAAGGCTTAAGGAATTTTGATATGTGATTCCTGACACTTAGTGTCTTTATTATATAGTAATAAGGTTTTTTTTTTTTTTTAATCACAAATGAACTCTGAAATTTATTTTTACCATCAAAATGGTCATTGAAATTGAAAATCAGTCAATGTAGTCCTTAAAAATAGGTGTCACAAATCAATGTGGTCTTTTTGTTACAATTCTGTTATAAGTTTTTTTTTTCTTCTCACAAATAGTCCTTGAAATTGACCCGTGACATCAAAATGGTCTCTGAAATTGACCTGCGACATCAAAATGGTCCTTGAAATTAAAAATCGATCAACGTAGTCTCGCAAGTAAGTGTCACAATTTTATCAAAAATTATGTTATGTACTGATGTAACACATAAGTCTAATTAAATTTAAAAAATTACAAATAGGTTTAATAATTTAATAGTTAATAAAAAGTTGTGAACCCAAAAACCCAGTCATGCAATCACCTCCGATCCCAGTCCACATTCCTCTACCTCTTTCGCTGTCTATTCTTTAAAAAAAATATCAATACACTCATCTTTACACACGTCTACATTTAGCCGATCAACATCCTCACAACCTTAATCTTGGAGAGTTTGTTCGGCGCTTTATAACCGAAATGCATCTATTGTTGGTTGAAAATTATTTTCAAACCTCCTCTTAGGCCTTAGTTAAGTCTTGTGTCATTGAGAATTTATGAAATGGATCTTTATTCGGAGTAGGTCCTACTATAAGAAAAAAAATTATATTGTGCAAAAAGGTATTTAGACAAAATTTTTAATTAATTATTAAATCCACATCAACATATAACAAATTTTTTTACAAAATTATGATGAAATGATCATATTGATTTGCAACACCTATTTTCAAGGATTACATTCATCAAGTTTCAATTTTAGGAACTATCTTGATAGTGTGGGTCAATTTCAGGATCATTTGTGATAAAAACCCGTAAATCTTGTGGGGCTCATTTATGTGCCGCATCAACGTTTAATAGAATTTTTAACATAATTGTAACAAAATGACCATATTGATTTGTGAAACCTATATTCAGGGATTACATTGATTGATTTTCAATTTCAGAGACCATTTTGATGATGAGTGTAAATTTGAGGAACCATTTGTGTTAAAAACCTTAGTAATAAATAGATCTCTAATAAAGCCTAATTTATATCTACGTAGAATTTACACAATCACACTATGTTATATATTAATCACAATAGATATTTTATTCATCGAGAAAAGGACATTACAAATACATATCATGAAGAACTTGGCCTTAAAATAGTGCTTACAAACTAGATTTAAGATTGGTTAATACTAAAAAGAGATTATCTTTTAAGATCATATTTTATAAATCATATAATATACTAGTTGATGATTGATGATTGTAAATGCTATGACCCAGTGAGCTGAATATAAAAACCTAACAACTAATTAACATTTCAACATGTTCATTATTTTGGCGCGATTGTTAATCAAAGCTCGTTTAGGGAACCAGTCAGCTCCATTAAATGACTCGATGAAACGACATATGGACATGCGTACCGCCATATCGAAACTTCTAGGTTTGCTTGGCAAAAACGACACACACAGCGCACAACTCAGCTTGCATAATTACTAATAAGCCACCGTGGCCTATGTGTCTCTGCCGCTAAAATAAAAAAAATACGATGGCGAAGACGCACTTCTTCCTTTGAAACTTCCGCACACTTCCTCTCTCACGAAGCAGCCACAGCAACAGCTGCCGCCGCCACCGCCCCCGCCGATCAGCTAGGGCTCTGGTGGGTTTTATCGAATCTTCTCCGACGAAGAAAGAGTTCTCAAAGCCCCCAGCCTAATCCCCATTACTTAGGTAATTTAATATCTTCGTGCCATCGCTTCCATCACAACCCCTCTCTGTGCACCTCCACTTCATCAATACGCCGACGCTTTTCGAATCTACTGGTGTTTGTATTTCTCGATTGATTGAAGTCTCTGCGCCTGAAAAGCGAAGTTATTTACGGTTTTGCCATTGCATCAGTCGCTAGCTTAAGCTAAAAGCTTGATGGAATCTGTGGTTGATTGAAAGAAAGGAAAAGTTTGATTTGTGTTTGCCACTAATCGTTAGAATATTTTCTGGTTTTACCACATCTGTTGATAGTTTTTATTGAGTGATTACGGTTTTGGGTTTTGGTCTGCAGTTTCAATGGCCAAAGTTCCAGCAGGAAACGATCACCCTGTTGGCCAAACCACAGTCCGAATTGTTGTGGCCGGAGACCATGGCACCGGGAAATCCAGCTTGATTGTGACTGCTGCCACCGAGAACTTCCCGGCAAATGTGCCTCCGGTGCTGCCCCCTACAAGGCTGCCTGAAGATTTCTACCCTGAACGCGTTCCCATCACCATTATCGACACATCATCTCGGTATGAATTCTGTAGTTGACATAGGAAATGATCTGTTTATTCGCTGATGCGGTTTGAAATGTAGATGTTGCATTGTATGTGGGTTTAAAGATTTCTTTTTACGTGGTTTTGGTTGTGGTGTCTTCGGAAGGTCTGTTTGGTTGTCCAGAACGGGTTGGAAAGGAAAAGTGAATTACGTCATAAGTTTCCTATTTTTTTCCGGCCCGAACAAATAAGGGGTTATGTCATATTGGTCGGTCTTTCTTCTGCTGATATCTTTAGTACGATGTTGAATTGCTTTATCTGTTTACTCAATCAGAGCAGAGGATACTAATAAGGTTGCTGAAGAGTTGAAACGGGCTGATGCAGTTGTGCTTACTTATGCATGTAATCAGCCTCAGACACTTGATCGATTGAGTACATTTTGGCTTCCAAAACTTCGTCAACTAGAGGTGTGTGTGGTTGCTTCTTTTCCTCACTGCACCCATTCATCTCCAAAAGTTTAACACGCGCCTTTTTTGGACAAAAACAAGAAAAAAAAAACCTGATGAAAGGAAACCTTAATCTTGACAGTATAATATTCGTTGTGAAAATGAAGCCTAATAATTTCAGTGGTTTGATGATCTGTTTGAAAAGTTGTTTGATATGGAGGTTAATGGAGCAACACTTGTCTTGTAGCATGTACTTATGATGGGAAAATGTGAAATTTATTAATTTAATGAGCAGGTAAAGGTACCTGTTATAGTGGTGGGTTGTAAGCTAGATTTGAGAGATGAGAACCAACAGGTGAGCCTCGAACAAGTGATGTCACCAATAATGCAACAGTTTCGGGAGATTGAAACTTGCATCGAATGTTCAGCATATAAACATATTCAGGTATGCAGTAATGACTCCTATCTTTTCAAGTTTCCTTTTGTTGGTTAGTATATGAACTTTTTGTGAATTTAACGTGCACCATATGATGTGTTGCATTTCTTCATACTTTCCACGCATCTATGAACTACCTGTCTGCAACATTCACTAAAAGTCTAAAATGTCAGTTAAAATGGCTACAAGAACCTAATGCCATCTTTAGTATATCCTGAATTCAATGTATGACTTTGTTGACCAAAACAATAATTCAATTGGTGGCTTTTTGTTGCAAGTAGTGTTGTTATTTTGGCATGGACACTAATTCTTGGACTCCATACAATCAATATCTTTCTGTTTGCAGATTCCGGAGGTTTTTTACTATGCACAAAAAGCTGTGCTTCATCCAACGGGCCCATTATTCGATCAGGAAACACAGACTTTGAAGGACCAATGTGTGCGAGCCTTGAAGCGGATATTCATTCTTTGTGATCATGATAGGGATGGTGCCCTCAGTGATGCAGAGCTGAATGATTTCCAGGTTCCCTTTTTTCTAGTTTGTAGTATTCTGCTTATATTCTTAACTTTTGTTCCAAAGTCCTAGTGTTCTATGTGATTATTTGATATGATCTTATAGCTATATTTTTGAATGGTAATTTATTCTCGAGATTCATGAACAATTCAATGCTTATTCTGAACAGGTTAAATGTTTCAATGCTCCATTACAACCTTCTGAAATTGTGGGTGTTAAGAGGGTCGTGCAAGAAAAATTACCAGAAGGAGTCAATGAACATGGGCTTACATTGACAGGGTTTCTTTTTCTTCATGCACTATTCATAGAGAAGGGACGTCTAGAGACAACGTGGACTGTCCTTAGGAAGTTTGGATACAATAATGATATAAGGCTTGCAGATGAATTAATCCCATCTCTCCCTAAACGAAGTCCTGATCAGGTAACATCAATTGAGTTATGGTTTCGATTCTGTGCTGCAATCAGTGATGAGATGGTTTTATTACTGGCTGATATTGAAGTGAAGTAAAACATTCATTGAGTTTTGAGTAATCATTTTCCAAAGTTTTGTAACTCATTCGTGTTCATTTTACAACTCATTTCTTTATTTTGGTAAAAATTGATTATTCAAGTGCTAGAGTCCTATTTACTAAGTACCTTATAACGACCATTTTGAATCAAGTTGGAGGCCCAGAGCTAGCTTCCTGCTGTTATCTACCTATGCTCGTGTCAACACTGAGCCCTATATTTGATTTTCCATAATCATGCTACTTAAAGTGATCTTTGTGAGATTATTTTGTGAATTATATCCATTGTTCTAAGTATGTGCTACAAGTTTTTAGTTTCCTTTTAGATTTTCTGTAGATGTTTCATGTTGATGTACTTGGTTGTCATGTGGGCAGAGTGTGGAGCTGACAAATGAGGCAATTGAGTTTCTGAAGGCTAACTTTGACTTGTTTGACGGTGATGGTGTATGTATTAGTACTCATCCTTCTTAAATGCTACATTCTCTATTACATTGTTGATTAGTTTTCAATATTTTGTGTCATCAAGGATCTTCGTTGTGATTCACTTTTTATAAAAGTCTCTCTGAAAAAAAAAGAAGAAGAAGATCTTCACCGTGACCTAACCTTACAACCTCTTAGGTGCCTTAGTTGTTCTCCTAGTTCTTATAATCATGAACTTATATGTTCTTTTCACCAGGATGGGGCCCTCCGACCACGTGAACTTGAAGAACTATTTTCTACTGCTCCAGCAAGGTAATTTTTATTTATTAGAATTTTTTCTGTTTCCATTTTTTTTAGTTCATTGCAACTAGTTTGTTTCTTTACCATGAGAGATAATGTTTGCAGTTGTGTTTCCCATGGTTTTTGTTCATATGTAGTTCTGATGTAAGAGCGTTAAAGCTCATGATATTAGAAAATAGAAACTCAAAAGTTTACCTAAATGTTGGTTTTCAGTTAAAAGTTTGGTCAGTAGAAGCTTCATAGTTCATAATGATGTTCAGAGCTTGTAATATTATCAACTTTCTCAATCTAGTTCATTATAATCCCTAGCTTTGAAGATCTTGGCATGTTTTGATTTTTGGCATTTGAAATTTCAGCCCGTTTAGTGAATTTCCATCTAAGGATGCTGCATTTGGAGGGTTATCACTTGATGGATTTTTGTCACAGGTAATATATGCCTACTTCTCTCTCTCTCTCTCTCTCTGTGTTGGGGCAGGGGAGGATTATGCTCATTGTTCTTGATTCGCATTAAATATTTGTGATTCAACTCTCAATTTATATGTTTGTATGGATTTTTACTTGCATAGACATTCATAGTCATGTTGGCACTTTATTACATGCATTACAAACAGTTGTTTTTCTTTTATGTGCGCAACTAACTTTATGACAAATATGCATATTTTCAGTGGGCCCTCATGACACTTCTAAACCCAGCTTCTACGATGGAGAATCTGATATACATTGGTTATCCTGGTGAGGTTTCATCCGCAATCCGTGTGACTAGGAAGAAGCGTGTAGATCGCAAGAAGCAGCAATCGGAAAGAAATGTTTTCCAATGCTTTGTCTTTGGTCCAAAGAAGGCTGGGAAGTCTGCATTATTGGATTCTTTTCTTGGAAGGTCTGATTCCGATGGTTTCTCCAGTTGACTTTGATTTTGTGAATTAAATTATGCAACATTTATTTACAATAACTGGAACTGCAGGCCATTTTCTGAAACTTATAATCCAACCACTGAGGAGCGTTATGCGGTTAGTGTTGTTGATCAACCTGGGGTAAGTAATACTACATGAAGCGCCTTGTGTCTTGACAATTACATGGAATAAACTTACACTGGCTAGGTTATTGAAGTATTACCTCGTCGCCAAATTTTGTTAAATGCATGCTATTTACCCCAAATTTTTACTACTAAGTAATTCTGTATACTTTCAACTATAGTTTGACTGATGAGCTAAATTTTGTGTGAGGTCTATTATTAGTCCTTTCAGTGGTTTGTCTGACTTTTTAGTATATACACAGGGACCCAAGAAAACCCTAGTAATGAGAGAAATTCCTGAAGATGGAGTTGAGAAATTTCTCAGAAATAAAGAGGCTTTGGCTGCATGTGACATAGCTGTGTTTGTTCACGACAGGTAAGCAGAACCCTAAAATGGGTGTTTAATATTTGTTAAATCATGTTACTCTTCTGTTATCTACCATGCTAGTACAATTTGGGTCGTCGTTTCTCTTCTCCTTTGTAAGGTCCAAGTTTCTGTTTCCTGATTTGAAAATTTCATGGGATTTGTCTTTCCTATTTGGTTTTTATTTGTGAAGCCATAATCTATAATACAAACGGTAAACTTCTGATATTTAAATTGCTGGAAAATTTATCGTTAGACATAAACATGTGAAATGGAAAAAGATCCAAGTTTATAGATATTCATATACGTTTCTGTTTCCAGGATGGCAAAAGCGCCTTGTTGTCAACAAACATAAAAACAGAAAAGTAGATTGTTGACAGTGACTTATATTTGGGAATATTACACGGACATGTTTATTTACCTTTCTCTTTAGCTGCTGCCTGTAGTTGACAATCAATTTTAGGTTGACTCTGAGCATTACTTTGACATGAATACATTTCTTTACGTAATATTTTACTGTTATTTATACCTCTTTAATAGTTGGTGTCTTTTTCCTTGTTAGTTCTGATGAGTCATCCTGGAAGAGAGCAACTGAGTTGCTGGTAGAAGTTGCTAGTCATGGTGAGACTACTGGCTTTGAGGTACCTTGCCTCATTGTTGCAGCTAAAGATGATCTGGTTGCATTCCCATCGGCCATTCAACATTCTACGAGGGTATGTCTATTTAGGCATTGACCTTTCTTTCCTTGCTTATCTTTTTGGAAGTAAAGTGGATTACCTGGTCAATTATTAGTTCTGGTTACAACTATTCGTGCAAGTTTGAACTTTTAAGGTGCGGACCAACTGTTTTCTGTATTCTAATATGTAATCATTATTGTTGTGCCTTTACATTTATGTTTGCCCTTTATATGTAGTATGCTCAGTGTGTAAACAGTTTAATTGTTCTCTCTCTTTCTCTTCCCGTGCGGGGTTATCCAAAATAGTTGAAAACTTTTTGAAGTTTATTTCGTTGGTATTCAATGCAAGACGCATTTTACAATTTTGACAGCATTTCTTTCTTTGGCCGAGTTAAGTGAAGCTTGTGTGGGTTATTGGGCGTGGTGTTTGAAAGTAGTCCTGGTTGTTTTGAGCTTGGCATTCATTCTTTGGATGGCCAATCGAATTGGAGATGCCAGTGCATTCTCTTATCTAACCTAATAATTGACATATTTTTTTATGTACTCGTGCAGGTTAGCCAGGATATGGGAACAGAGGCTCCTATACCTATCAGCGCAAAGTTGGGTGATTTCAACAATGTGTTTCGTAAAATTGTAACTGCCGCGGAGCACCCTCACCTGAGCATTCCTGAGACTGAGGCTGGAAGGACCCGCAAGCAATACCATAAGATCCTTAACCGATCTCTAATGTTTATTTCAGGTATGATGATCTTTTGAATTTTAATTGTGTCTTTATAAGTTTATACGGTTCTCGTCCTGCTTGATGTCCAACTGAAGTTACTAAGGATATGTGGGCCTAATGGCACATCTGGGGTTCCATGCCGGTGGATGCATGTCTAAAGCTAACGTACTCACTTTTAGGAGAGCAGATTATGTTAGAAATGCATGTATTCAAATGAAATTTTAGTAATAAACAACGAAAGACGCTTGCTTCATCTGTCAGTTTGTTAGGGGGGCCTTTCCTTTTTCACTGATTATAATTTATGCTGTGGGATTTACGTAGTTTGTGTATTCTCTTCGCAGTGGGAGCTGCAGTGGCCATGGTTGGAGTGGCGGCTTACCGAGTCTATGCTGCGAGGAGGAATGCCTCCGGTTAAACAATTGAGGATGAAGTTCCCGTTGAGTTTATCCGTTGCGACCGCTAGTTGCATTACTGCTTCATAAACTCTTGTAATTTTTCATTTCGAGATTAAACTTGTAATTAACAACTAGCAAGTGCTATTCTTTTGATCAGTCGGGAATTGTTTGGGTTGTTGTTAGCTTGCGTTGCGAGGGATTGGCGCAAGGTCCACAACTTGTTCGTCACAATATGTAGAGAGGATTCATATTGAGGTTAGGGAGAAAATGTTGTGTCAAGAGGAAAGAGAGAGTAAAGGGCAAAAAATTGAAAACATTTTGTGCTCTTTAGTTGGTTTATGTATCTCTTTTGATTGTCGATTCATTCAATTTGAAAGCTAAAAATAAATTAGAGTATGTATAGAAAGAAATGAAATGCGCAGAAATGACTTCTCAAACTTGGATAAATCAATGGTGTATAATAACTTTGGAAAATTATAAAATCTTCTAATTTCAACTCAGTACGGTGTACTATGGTAACCAGCTTGCTAAATAAATAAGATAATAATTTTTTTTTAAAATCCTTTAAAACGAAGCTGATGTATAAAATAATAATTGATGAAATATGACATAAAATTCATTAGGAGTTTTATTTTAGGGGGAACGTTACTAAAGTCCCTCACAAAACTTTTTTAAATCGAAATATGTCCTCAAATGAATTTAAATAATAAGATGCCTAATGCATGACATAATTAAATAAAACAATTCTTTTGAGCGGATAATGCGTGCATTTGTAGTTGGTGTTTAATCTAAATTTTTTTAGCAATAATTTGGTTGCCGATTTTGGTAAAAAATGCAAGATAAAGTTTTAGCATTTCGAACTGTTTATGTGACAACCCGTTCCAAATTTTACGTTTTTATTTTATTTTAAAAGCGTGAATTTACTAAATTGCCCTAGAGGCAAAGGCTTTGACTTATGTTGAGCATCGTCTAGAGAGACGTATGACTTATTCTTTTAACATATTCTCATAATACTCGTGGATGTGAACGCAGAGGCGAAAGCTGTTTGCGAGTCTGGATTATAACGGTATAGTTACGGACGTTCGAAATTGGTTATTCAAGGTTTAATGTTTATTTAAATTAAATCCCCACTTTGTGGGGGAAGCCCAATTAGAAAATGGAGGGAGGAAAGAAGAAGTAAAGTTGGCAGCCAATCAAAAAGAAAGAAGAAAAGAAAAGGAAAAAAAAAAAAAATGGGAAAGCTCCCCCAAAACCGTGACCCGACATGCACGACCATCCATTTTCCAAGGCCGATTCCGGCCAACTGCGGTGGAGTTTTTCGATGCTACCACCACCATCTTGAAGCTATCATTCCCCTCTACAAAACCCACCCAAGAACCACCTTGATTAACCATGGTATGAGGCGGTTTGAGGCCACGAAAGTTGACGAAAATCAATGGTGCTTCGGCCACCCTTTTCGATTTTCCGGCAAATCGGCAAAGCGATGGCCGATGCCACCACTTGGGCTTTGTATCCCATCATCCCAGGAGCAAAACCCAACCAACCTTGACCCCGTTGGACCACCGTGGACGACGAATCGACGTTGGGAAGTTTTAGGCACCCGTCTTTGTGGGCAAAATTGACCATCTTCCGTCCACTTTTGGACTTCGTGGCAGGTATGAAAGTTGCTCCACTCACTGAGATCTTCATTTCTGTGAAGTTTGAGAATTTTTGGAAATAGTTGGATTTTCCGGCGAGTCGGGGCAGAGGTTGATAGTTGGAACCTAAATTCTATGTTAAATGTCTTGAATTCATTTTTGTCATTTGAATGACGTAGGTTGATAGTTGGAACCTAAATTCGTTATGATACGTTACTTGATAAAAATGTGAATCGATGATCCGACCGTTGGATCGTCACCAAAACTGGATACATTATAATACGTAATATTTAAAGATCATAGGAATTTATGGATCGGGAATCCGACGTACGGATCTTCCTGAATTGGATTTGTAAGTTAGTAAAATAAATGTTCACGGCCACTTGTTTTAGGCAATTGGCGGAGATCTGACCGTTGGATCGTAATGAAAATTTAATATGTTATTGTAGAAACATATTGTGGATCGGTGGAAGTTGCGGATTGGAAATCTGATATGCGGATCTTCCGGGTCAAGTTATACAGTGTTGTAAACCCTACCGTCGATCAAAGATCGACGGTTAACTTGTGGTCAATGGGTCTCAAACTATTTTAGAATGTCGTTGAGGTTGTGTTTTATGTGAATTACATATTCTACGGATAAGAGTTCTGAGATATGATTTGATAATTGGTCACAGGGACCAATCATTCAGGACGCCTCGATGCGTGCGCTGGAGAATCATAGCGTGGACTCCAGGTGAGTGCATATTTTCCTTTTTATCGTACATATTGTTGAGAGTTCTATCGACACTTTTAAATTGATTAGGCATATTACTTTCATATATAATTATTGTGAATGCTTGAAGTACCAATATGAACTACGAATGGCTTGATCCCTGTCTAGGGTACGTAGGCAGTCTAACGAGACGTTAGATGCAGCCATAAAATATTTGAGACAAAAGCCTTATTTGGGAAATTGAGTAATGCGAAGGAAATTGATAAAGACAAGTTTTAGTTTTGTGAATTAGTTAGTTAATTAGTGTTAATTGAGTTATTATGGATAATTATCCCTGAAAATAAGTAATTCGGGAGTAGAGCGTTATTGATTGCACATTTCACACCGTATTGTTTATAATTGAAAATGCTACAACATGGTTGAGTTTTAGATTGCATCATGGTATATCCATATGTATACTACTTGCATATAATTATTGGGAATGCTTTCAAGTGCAAAGGTGGACGCAGGACACCCAGATAAGCTTCAGGTGAGTATATGTTGATGTTAGTGATGGTAGTGAGTACGATTGTGTTGAGACATAGTATAGCTCATAAACCTGCACTCCGGTGTTAGTGCTCCCGCCCGTGGCCAGGGCACAGTCCTTCACGTGATGTTCACCTCCCGCACCTTACGCTCACCTTGGATTCAAGGTAGGTGCACAGTCCTGTCGTACAGACCACTTTAGGCGGTTCCGACTCGTAGGTGACCCGCGATTATTCGTCTAGTCTTCACATGATCGTAGCACTTGAGCGTATTTATTTACACCCAGTCCTGTCGTACAGACCACTTTAGGTGGTTCCGACTCGTGTGCAAGTATACTTATTGAGCTATTGGCTAGTCAGGATTGATGAGATATGGATAAGTCGTACAGGTCACTATAGGTGACTCCGACTTATATGCTAGCCATGATTGATGAGATATGGATAAGTCGTACATGTCACTATAGGTGACTCCGACTTATATGCTAGCCATGATTGATAAGATATGGATAAGTTGTACACGTCATTTTAGATGACTCTGACTGATATATCACTTTGTATTGATTTAGTTCATTTGGCCTACTTATTAATGTATGGTGGAGTTGATGGCAAACCGTGGTTTTGGTCATTTCTGAGTATGGTTTGGATATATGTATATATGTTGTACTGTCTTATGGAAAACGATACGACTTTTACAATTAGGGGCATTACTTTTAGAGAGGTAATAACTTTGGGAAGTTTGGTTTTATTGCTTACTCACACCTTCTGTTTGGTGCCCTCCAGGTTTTAGCTGCTGAGTTTGTATCGACAAGAATCTGTGGCGAATCTTAGTATTGATGGATAATTCTGAGGGTATGATTCTTAGCCGCACTACTGTACCTTACCTATGCTCTGACATCGCGTGTGATATGGGTTCGCTCCCACTCATAGCGCACTCTGGTACTTAGACACTTTTAGATTCAAATTTATTCACTTTTTCTACACTCTATCACATTTTATGGCTTCGTCACCTTCCAGGTGTCGGCCAGCACAGCTCGATTCAAGGTCCAAGTGGACTTTCTGGGTCGGGATGTGTCAGTTTACCTTATAAGCCTGTGTGAGGATAAACTATAATTCATATATGTTCTTCATTTTTTGGATCAAAGTTATCCACACGATTAAGGTAATAGTTTAATTATTTGGAAATTAAGTAAATATGGTACTAATAACATTTTTTCAGCACCGTAATATTATTGTGTGCATATATGTATTAAAAAATATAAATTCCATCACTGTTCCAACGGAAACAAATTTTTAATAAGCTTGTCGTTCTCACTTCATGTATCGTTGTATTCTTTACGATCTTTTAAAAAATTGAATATACATTTATGTTGAAGAACATTCACTTAAGAGTCAAATCTTCTTCTCTCCTCCCATGATTCTTTTTCTTTAAGTTCTCTCACTTTCAATAATAATAATTATGACCGAATTTATTAAGCATTGAACTCGTTATCTATGTCGTTGTAAGCATATATCTTTTCAAAGAAAAATGAAAATACAAATTTAAACAACGTTTTAAAAAGCTCTCCATACGCGCGTGGGGATGAAATCATACATATAAGCAAATATATCTTCTCCAACGTCCAGCCATGCAAACCTTCCTAATAAAACCCTTTTTCCATATACGTCAAGCCTCTCTCTCTCTCTCTCTCTCTCTCATACAACACCAAATACAAATGCTTTCTCCTTCACCAAATTATGTGAACATGGCTTCCAAGTTTTCTTCCTCCTCCTCCTCCTCCAAACAACGAGTAGTCCCCTTCGTTCTCTATCTATTTATTCTCTCACTGTTCATCCTATGCCTAATGATCTCGTATAATTTTCGTCCCACCGAGTCGAACAATTCAGCTACCAATCGACATGAACAGGTTATCAAGAACAAAACCGAGAATGCGAACTAGTTCGCTGCCATTTCCAAGCGATTCAAAATCAAGGGCAGAAAAATTAAGGTAGGTTTGGTCAATGTAGATGAACATATTCATCGTCAGCTCCGTGGACTATCAGATGTAGAGGCAGTCTCAGTGGCATTCGAACGCGTAGCTAGGGATCGAAAATGGGAGGCCTATTTTCCCGAATGGGTTGACGAAGACGAGGAGCGGGGGAAACCAAAGTGTCCGGAAATCCCAATTCCTAAGCTGGAGAATTACGAGGGCATCGATGTGGTACTGGCCAAGGTTCCATGTGGAGCAAATAGGACGAGTGACAAGGAAGGGATTAGGGATGTGTTTAGATTACAAGTTAATTTGGTGGTGGCTAATCTAGTGGTGGGGAGAGGGTGGATGAAGCCTGATGCTCATCGGACGGTGTATGTTGTGTTTATCGGGGCTTGTGGACCGATGGTGGAGATTTTCAGATGTGATGATCGTTTGATGCATAGAGGGAATTATTGGGTTTATAGGCCTAATATTGTGAGATTGAAACAAAAGGTGCATATGCCTTTTGGATCTTGCCAAAT